CGTCGTCTATTTTGACAAAAGTGTCCGACGTCTAATTCTGTAAGGAAATCCGTAGGAACAGTATTTATTTATTTATTTTTATCATTGAGGAGACGAAAAGGATAGAGAAGCCAGAACGTATGGAGAAAAGCAAGGATTTTTTTTATCGCAATCACAGAAATTTTGGTCGATTAGATTACCCTGATTCAATATACACCTAATAAATTTGTCAAGCCTTAGTGCATGATTTGAAAGTATTTTGTCTACTTGACTTTGAACGTATTTTATGTACTCGACTCTTAAACGTTTAGATCTTGCAAATACTAGAGGAATTTCATGTTCCACACGGAACGATGGATATAAATAATAAAATAATAAATTTAAATAAATTTAATGGTCTTTATTTATTGCAACTACGTGCGGATATATAAGAGATACCCAGATGTAAAACAGAGTGAGATCTGAGTACGAGATTAAGATTCTACGTTACGAATTCCTTCAATCAAAATTAGTCTGTAGAAAAGACTATATAACATAACCTTTCATGTACCACTTTACTTCACTCCCCTTCGCTATTAAACTATTCTCACCAGGAAAACACGTTCAAAAGTCTAAATTAATGTACTGCTGAACATTCTCATTGTGGCCTAGGGTAATACACGGCATACTCGCAGGCCTTGTCCCTCAATTTAAAGAGCATTCTGCTTGATTATTAAACCAGTTCTAGTTAAGTTTAGGTCTCGGCATCCTCGCTAGCAGTTCTTACCCAAAACCTATCCCCGCAGCGATGGCCGGGAGCATATTCTCTCCTGGTATATCGACTTGCAAAGTCTCGGACTGATTCTCCCATATCTTATGTATTTGGGTCCATTTGGCTTTGTGTGTGGGTGTTTCTAACTGGTAAAAATATTTAGCTCACTATACAATTTACCAACCTCGTTCCCAGGCTCCTCGCCTGCTCGTCCGCGTGTAACAAATAAATGCAGGGGATGTCTACTCAAAGGCTACACAAGCGGATGATTAAGACCAAAAAAAATAACTATTTGAAGGACTGTTTGCGCTCGAGCCAATGCAAGATGTGCGATCAAGTTAGCGCAATTAGTAAAATGCAATAAGAGGAAGCGCATTGCATGGAAAATTAAAATTCAGGTCGTAAACACGATTCAAAGCGTAAAAAAGAATTTACTCCCCTAGGCTTTTATTCATATCCCCGTGCCGTCCATAACTCCTGAAATAATCCCTAGTTTCCTACAAATAAAAAGCCAATGACGAGGAGAAGAAAAAAACGGTTAACAGGCCTAAATAATTATACTATATTATATTTATATTCATTTTATTTATATTACACCTATTTTTTCCTAGATTCTCTTTTTTTAAGCTGAAAGAAAATTTGAATGTATGTGAATGTTATAATGTGTGTGGATATTTTGTAGGCTTGAATATTTTGTATGTGTATGAATATTTTGTAGGCACGTATATTGTCCACATAAATGTACGAAATTAATCAATGCGCAAGGACCTTTGCATAATGGCAATATATGAAAATTCTTCTATTTTTTCTTGTGTTGTTGACATTTTCAAATACCCGCGCCATCAGCTGATAATAAACGAGGCGTCAAACTCCTCTTGGGCCCCGACAAGGTAATATTTGTCACAGCGACAATTATTTACTTTTCGAGTACCCTCCCTTATTTTTGGCTCCCAGATTTTGGGAGCCGCCTGACCGACCGCAACCGGGGTTCTTTCTCGAAGCAACAGAGAGAATGGTTGAAACAATTAAACTGGTGTTTAAGGGGTGATTCATTTGCAACTTACGCCTGTAGCTGTCGCATCTACTCGTTGGAATTTTTAGTTGTTTTTAGGCTTAAATACAATAAAAATTTCCAACCTGCCAAAGCGACAGCCATACGAATATGTTGAAAATGAATCCACCCTAAATTAGGGACTGTTTACATGGGGGTGGGGGACCCCAGGTAGGTGAAGTAACCCACTTTGGTGGGGTAGCCCGCCTGTCCATATAATCCGCTCACATTAATTTGATCACGTTTACATGATAGGTGGGGTGACCCGCCACACGTTATCTCACCTGTCTGGGGTCCCCCACCTCCATGTAAACAGGTCCTTAGAATACGGAACTTTTTATGTAAATCAAGTACTGATAAACATGAAATTTTGTGAAAAAAATATGCAATTCACGGAAGAAATGAAAAATTCAAAATAGAACCAGTACAGAAGTCTTGGAAAGTACTCATCCTAAAACGAACAAACCGTCGGTCAAAACGTATTAATTGTTGAACGAGCTACAAAGTTTTAAGCCAAGACAAAACCTGTCCCCTAAAACCAAAGTATTGCAAAAGACGACTCGTCGCCGCATAAAATAAGTTAAAAACAATTCTTACCAATTTCAAATTCCTTAAAGGTTTTCACTGCCGTATTATGTCGCCTTGCGGATAGTGACACTCCCTCGACAAACTGTTTTCCTCTTGTATCCTAAAGGCAAGTATGTCTCACACTGGAAGAAAAAAGAGACTTACTCTCGTTTGCAGCAGGATCAAATGTGTTGTAAATTTGGAGCCCCAAATTTCCATAAAATGCATATTTGCATATTTATCACTTAATGCATGCTTCAACCAATAAAACTGAAGCAAAAAGGCAATTTTCCTGGAACATGTTTTTGAAGCTGATTACACTTACAGCACGTGTTTTATCATGTCAAACATGTTCGTTTTTTATAACAGGACATAAATTCCTAGCGTGCCAGCTTCTCGGTTAATTATTAGTACAAGAAAAGCACAAAACAAAAAACAGCTTTCAGGCCAGCCTTCCTTTTCTTGGCCTCCTAGGCAAGTTTTACATGGGTCATTTAAAATTGACTTATGTAGGTATCTTCCTAGGCAACAAGGAAAGTCGACGTCGTTAAGAATCTAGAACAAATATCCACATCTAATATCGTCACTCTATCTTCCCAAGAAATCATTACCGGTTCAAGGAACTAATTTATTAATTACTGTTTCCCACAGACGTTATCATGCTCCGGGGGGTACTCCTGGGAATTCTTGGTAGGGGTATGCTGCCCGGTTCATCAAATCCACACCCTATTTCGGACCAAAAAATGTAATTTTCTACACCCGCTTTCAGACCAGACCTCTAAAATCCATACCCGTTTTCAGACCTGGCCTTTAGGCAGAAATTATGTTATCATTACTTAGATTAGAGCGCAAATCCAAAAATTCTTGAAATCCATTTCGAATTCGCATATTTCTCTTTCTTTCTTACTCATTTGGAATTGAAACGATAAATACGTTCATACACTGCCGGCCGTAGTTCCCTAAAAAACCACACCCGATGCAAGACCAAAATGGGCGTATACCCGTTTTCAGACCAAAACGGCGCAAAAACCCTAACCGATGGGGCGGCACATACGTAATATAATCGAACCCTTTTTATACGTTTTATACCCCCAACTTGGTTTGAATAGCTCCAAACCAGGAGATGGCGTTCTCTTTTAACCCTTTTCGGACGGCTAGGGTCGTATACGACCCCATTAGCCTGTTCCAGGCTCCGAGATAGTGATGAAAAGTCGTTCAGTAAAAAGAAATGCGTGCGTCTTATTTTCGCTTTGCTCGTTTTGATACGTCGGCACTATACTATCTGAGAGCCTGGCACAGGCTACGACCCCATATGGAACGATGTATACATTCCTTCCTGGACCCATTTAGCTTTCAGGTCAAGTTAATAAATTAAAAGCAACAACGTCAGCAAAGATACATCTTTCCACTAGCGATACCTCGTTTTGGATATTCTGACTAATTCTTACAGAGTTACACGCACAAAGAAGGTAACATTTTGGGGAAAAATCCACTGCCAATTTCGCTGTTTACACAGTACTCTTTGAAAGTTAAATTTGTCCCCTTCCTAAAAAGTTAGCCAGCCACAATTCCATGCAAACGAAAGACGATCAAGTGGGCAACAAAACCGCCAATAAAGATGGAAAAGAAGAAAAAAAGAGAGCGAGAGAGAAAGATCGTAATAGATTCGCCAAAAATAAGGTCGATATTTCGGCTTCTTGCAAAACTCGTTTTTAGCCATTCTTATGCTAATTAGCCGAAAACTAGTCCAAAGAAGAGAAATTGGTGAAAAATGCGGTTTTTTCGCTACTCGCCGGCCGTCACCAAAGGGTTACGCTGGCTGTCTCCGCAAATACCTTGCTTACATTCCACTGATTCTCTTTTCAAAAAGCGCCTACCTCCTCCTCGGATGTTACTAAGGGCCTGTGAACATGGAGATGGGGGGCCCCGGGTAGGTGAGGTAACCCGCCTGTCCATGTAATCTCTCATTTTAATTTGATCATGTTTACATGATAGGTGGGGTGATTATATTAGCCACATGTTACCTCACCTACCTAGGGCACCCCGCCTCCACGTAAACAGGCTCTAAGAGGCGAAGAAAAGACAGGCTGGCGTGAAAGCAGGCCCTAAAACGGGGAACGAGCACGGAGAATGGTAGTCTGCTACACAGCCGTTTTTAGAGTCGTCACAGGGGAGGAGCGTTGCGTGACGACACTAAAAACTGCTGTGCAGCAGACTAGGAGAATGGGAAAATGACAAATTTGTAACAAAACAGAGAATGGGAATTGAAGTTGCTGTAAGGGCTATGCTTCAAGTTAGGTTTTTTGTTCTTATTTTTCATTTTCCCGTTTCCCGCTCCACGTTGTAGTAACATCCCCTCCTACTCCAAGCCCATGACCGCAGCTTTCTCTTACTGCTCGGTAGGCGGATAAGACGAGTAAGCGGATCGATGAAACCTAAACAGCATAACTGAACAATTGTTACATTCAACTTTTACTTTTATTCCGTTATAACATATTATAAGGAGGAGAATTGCACCAGGCAATTCACAGCTGAAGGAATAATCCGACTTAGGAAGCAAAGTACAAAGAACAAACGTACGCTCACAGAGCATAATAAACGATCCTAAGTACTTCTTACACAAATCAATAATAGCACGATAATAAAGTTCCATTAAGTAATGATCCTGGTGAGAAGGGGAGCAATTTCTTTTGCTATAGCGAAATACACTTTCCTCACGTATAGGAATGTTTTCATGTTTCCACAGAGAATGCGTAAACCTACAAAAAGTCAGTCTACGACATAAAATGTATTTTAACTCCATTTTTAAAGGATGTTTTTTTTGTGTTTAAAGATTTCAACCAATCGCAAGAGTTGAAAACAATAGCCAAGAAGAGTCTGTGTTACTCAGGTGCAGAAGAGATTTTGTTATAAGAAAGTTGCTTAGAAAACAAGGGATTAATATACATGCTTCGAAGATTTCGTAAAAATTGATGTTTAAACCAATCATAAGTGTAGCAGAGACAATAGATAGCACCTTTGCACTCCGACGTGTTCATTGCCTTTGGTTCTTTCCTTCTTATCTGGACCATCACTTAACAGTAGTTTTTGTATAGTAAGATTTGGTTTGACCAAACGAGTTGATGCGGTAGATTGGTCACGGTAGGGAGATAGAGAAGCTAACGTCTCGAGTGCTAGCCCTCCGTTAGAGCAATCGTCACCTCCTCTATCTTCAACAACTCAGTTGATGAAAGCAACTCTTTGAATTTCACGCCCCCACCGACGCCACTCTACATTTCTTTAGAAACTAACCGCTACATTAATTTGTTTTCGAATTGTAGTTTGGCGAAAGAATGTCTGATCGACAACTATTCTACATCATGTCAGAACTTTTAAGCAGCTATAATTGGTTGGAACTTGCAACCAATCAGCAGAAACGTTTAACTTGGAGGTCACACATCCTCTCGTTTCTTGGACTAAAAAAACACTAAACATATCTTCAATGTACACTGTAGCTATCCTACAGTTAGGCCTGCAGTTAATTTTCTTGTTTTAAAACGGCATGGAAACAAGGTTAACAGATTTATGATGTAATCCTCTTTCACCTCGATTTCATGTCAAAAACGCTACGAACTGCAATCACGGCTAGTTATTAGTAAGTTGTGTTAGTTTCAAAGCGTCTCAAGGATTAAGTAAAGCTTTACCGTATGTCTGTTTCTGATCCAAGCTTAGAAATTAAATATTATGTAATAATTGCATTCATTCCTTCAGAAATACAACAGCAGCGCAAGACAAAAAATGCAGAAACGTGGCCATCAGTCACTTGCTAAATTATCGTAACTCCTAAACCACTGGTGCACCACCAGGTACTGTACATTAATGTTGAAACTTTCATTCAAATAAACTGCAAAACGCATTTAAAAAGCTGGCCCTAAGTTTGTCAGTAGTTTAACTGCTACGCATATTTTTAACAATTTATTATTCTCCACTTGATTAAGTCATAGTTAGTAGAAGATACTATGAAAGGCTGCAGACATCAAAGATAAGATAGTGCTGGAGTTCATGATGGAAGCTCCCCGCAATGGTGCTTAATACTTTGTCTTTTGCCCACAAATTGTAATGGAATGAATTAAAGCAGCGTTTTTATTGGTCAATAAGATCAAAATAATAGGAATGCAGAATTTTGTGCACCTTCAAGTCCACAAAAACATATAACAAAGGCGTCAGATAGGCTTCATGACCGTTCCACTCTACTAACTATGACTCAGCATTTAAAATTCACCAACGATTCGAAAACACCAACAAATATTTTTTGCACAATTCTTCTTTCTTAACCTTTTTTGGGGTTGAGTAACATGTTTTTGCAAAGCATGGAAATAACCTGCAAAATGCAAATCTAAGAAACAATAATATTATTCCACATGCTTTCAATTAATATTCCATCTATTGTTAACTACAAGATAAGTTATTTACACTCATTACAACAACTTAAATGCAATCAACTCCCTTCTCTGAACAAATGGTAAATATTTATAAACCTATAGTTTCAATTTAAAATTGCTTGAAAGTAATAATACTTGTAGGACGGGAATGCAATTTCTATTGACAACGCGTGTTGTATGCAACTGGAAAAGATCTCTTTTCTTATCTGATGCACTTATGGAACGTATATTCACAAGCTTAATAAAATTTGAGTATTTTTTTTTAAAAAAGGTGGAACTTCACAAGCACAAGGATCACAGCATTGGGCCACCATTGGGGCCAATAATTCAGTCCATGAACAAATGGAGGTGTGGAATGAGGTGCTAACTGACTTTTGATGTAATGTTAAATTCTCCTGTTGACCCACAGGCAAATGCAAGGAGAATCTAACCTTTAATCAGCAGTCACTTCAAACGTTTTTCCACACACCCATTTCTCCCTTCCACTCCCAGTACACAAAATATACATAAAAAAAGTGCTAAGGGAGAAATAGTTCCAACACAGTTATGTCCACAAATTTGTTTTAAACTTAACGATAATCACACAGAAGTATGTAGTATGTAGTACTACAGACCACAGAACTGCGAGCCTGAGAAAGCAACTGACATCTTGTGATGCCCCAACTGGCTTCCCTGTGAAATGACACCTATGGAACGACTGCAGAAATTCCATACTGATGAGACGTCAATACCAAGATCTGGGTAGTGCTTCTGATTAGTTGAACCACATTTCCTTAGCAGCACAACCAATCAGAAGGCCATTTCTCAGATTTTGGTATGTTATTTTCGCCCTTGTTTCTCAGACGTCAGTTTGCAGGGAAACCAGTGGTAGTGTCACAGAATGTTGGCTGTTTTCTCGATCACGTTACAGAACTGCAGAAATGGAGATCTTTGTGTAGCCAAGTGCTGAGACTGTTGGTGCATTATTCAAGCAGCTGTCATTTTAGAAACTCGGGCAATACCAGGCAAAAAGTCATCTCAAGGCTCTGCTCTAGGAAAAAATGAGGGGAGCCAAGCACTTGAAACCTGTGAAATACAGGGTGCCAGCATGTATAATTTATGAAAAAAGATCTTCTTGTCATTCAAGAGCATAAAAACGGTGTCAAGGGCTACCAGGCATTTCTAGAGCTTAGCCTGCAGCAGATTGGCAAACCCAACCCTGTATGGCTTATATATCATTGCCTGTTAAAATGGTCACACTATGGTGAATCATCCACAGAATAAAAAAACCTCTGGGAGTGGAAGGCTGAAGTATAAGCTGGATATTGATTTTATCGTTGGATGTATTTTAAGTGATGCACGGCAGCCCAAAGCTGTACAAGGACGACTGTGAAGTCCCAAAGCAAAGAATGAAAAATACCCAAAACAAAATGATAATTAAAAAAAATACTTAAAGCATAATTTTATGTACAGTTTCTCAAACTCTAGGTTGATTCTCACACTTGCCTATTAAAAAAGCTAACTGCTACATTACCTCAGCGTAGCTTTAATGAAGCTTCTTGAGGCAAGAACTCTTTCTGGAAGAGATAATTTGATAATCTTCCAAACAAAAGGCTTGACTAGTTGCTGCTGGCAATGGCAGCATCTTTGGCAGCACTTCAGTTGTGAACTCCAGGGGCAAAAAGCCAAAATTCCAGTCTTTCTCTGGAGGTGTAGAGTATAATAAATCAGACTAAAATATCTAGGCAATCTTAGTGAAAATCTCCACACACGCAGTGACCACAGAACCAATTCCTCCTATTAAATATAACTGCAATATAACAACAGCTTACAAAACTTGAGTGGAGCTAGTAATTTCCCACATGCACTGCTCTGCTGACCTTGACCTTATGTGATGCTCTTTCTCTTTAACACTGACTTGTGCTGTGACCTCCTGCTTGAGTGGTAAAAATGAAGTTACTAAAATTTGATGATGGTGCAGTTTTGACAATCTCCTACATAGCTCAATGGAAAAGGTATTCTTGGCTGACTGACCAGGCAAGCCATACCTGGAGCTTCCATTATCACAAGTCATTCTAACAGAATGCCATTTGAAAAAGAAAATTTTCAGTGCCGCTTCATGTGAAGTGACAGATGATCCGACCTTGAAAAGCATCTGTCACAGTGTGAGCATTTAAAAGGTTTTGCACCAGTATGTTTTCTGTAGTGTCTAGTGAGTTCATCAGAGCGTGCGAATCGCCATGAACAGCCCTCCCAGGAGCACTTGTATGGTTTTTCTCCTGTGTGGGTACGCCTGTGCGCTTTAAGATGTGAGCTTTTGGTGTAAACTTTAGAACAGCCTTCATAATCACATTTGTGAATCCTTCTTCTTTTCATATGATCCGTTTTTCTGGAAAAGAGCAAACCCATCACTAGAACCATGCATTTGATAATAGAATAACATTATAGCTCTTCCTTAAAATGAGACAAATCCTAATATTTGCAGGCCACTAGCTGGGTTTGGTTCTAAGAACACAAGGTCATACAATTTTAGGTCACTTGCGTCATGCAAACTTTTGCATTTACCAGTCAGTGTTTGTGCAGCAGATACCAAAAACAATATTATAATATTCTAACCTCCTGTACACACTTCTTGTACAGCAGTCATGAACCACATCTAAATAAAGCAGTTGCACTGAATTTTTCTATTGTTTGAATTCCAGTGTGCACTTTACAAAAACAAAAATTTATTCATGACCACTCCTAAAGCAGATGCAGTGAATAATCCATTGCTTAAAAAATTCCAATAAATTGTGAGCTTAAACATGACAAAAATGCACTGAAAGTTGCAGAGACAATTGCATGTGAAAACTGACCTTTAAGCCCCGGGTCAGGGTTTTTAATGGTGGTTGGATACTTACTCAGTTTTTCTACTTTCTCTTCCAGTGCTGACAGTTGGCTCACTTCTAAAACAAGAACACCACAGCAATGTTACCAAAACCTTTCTGTAACTGCAACCTTGATGCATTTGAAAGTGTTGTGACCAGCACACACAGGTCAGTTTGTATCTACACATGAACAAACTTGTACATACAAATTTCTTTAGATTTTGGCAGTATACAGTGTCAGCCGTTTAGCTTACTAAGAGAAAAGGGGAACTTGGGATGAATAAATGGCCAGTCAGAAACAGGGAAATCAAATGCTTCTGGTTCGATACCATATTTACTCAAAAGAGTGCTGTTCTCACACAACACTGCACCACATTCTCTAAGTACAGCCCATCTGATAGGGTGCAATAAAAAATCAGAAATTGGCGATATTTTCAGGGTAGATTGTGCGATAAGATAGGACTATTATGTGATAAATTATGCAATTTTTTCAGGGCTAATTAACATTGTTTTACCAGGTTTCAAAGAAGAAAATTCACTTTAATGTTGTTTAACAGGCAATTTGAATGCAAAAGAAAAAGAAAACATCCATTTTAAAACAAGATAAATTATTTGGCCAATTATCTTGACCCAAAAAGAAAAAAATAGAAAGAAAGAAAAAAGACACTTGTTTAATATTACATGACGCCGCTACACTGCTGACCACACTGCTTGTCTCTGAAATCAAAATGGCTGCCCAGATACCGCGATTGAAGGTTTCAGATGTCATGCAAGGCTTTCTTTGGTGGTCAATCAACTTAGATTACATTAAGATTAGGAAAGTGTTTGATTAAAGTTAGAATTTATTGTTCACTTTACTTGAATTTAGCATTTTTGTTTTAGGAATTATGCGATTTCCGCAAATTGTGCGATCGGATGCGATTTGAGGTCAATTGTGCTAAATCACACCATCGTGTAATATCAGATGGCCTGTAAGCATAAAACGTGGTACCGAAAAGAAAAGAAAATTAATATTGGGTAGTAAGTTGTCATCCATCAACCTGTTCATTGTTTTTTCTTCCTGTTATTAAGTTAACTTTCTTCTACTTACTCATCAAAAAGTACAGCAGGAGGCGAGTGTGTTCTGTGTTCATAATCTTCATCTTCCATCATGTATTCTTCTTTTAGGTGATCTCCTGGAGAGACAATAACCGTGGGTGGGTTGTCTGTGCCATTACAACGTCCTCCATATCTACTGGGCGACGCTTCTCGAACCTGACAAAAGGCAACAGACTGAAAGATCAATTTCAAGTGATAATCACACTTCTGCACCTTTTCTTCACACCTTAAATGACTGATGACCTATGAACACCCATAGGCCCCACTCTGACAGCACTACGTACGCAGATTTGACTATTGTGTGTCATTAAAACTTTAAGTTTCAAAAGTGACCAACATCAATAGATATTTTTCTCTAACAGTTTCAATAGATAATCGAGAGAAAAAGTTATGAGAATTCATTGTATCATCCCTAAAGGAAAAATGCTTTGATCTTTTATAAAAATTGTTTCAACTTTAGAATTCTCCAGGGAAATGTATAGTGATTAGTCTGGAGAATTTGCATGTGGATATTAGGGCTGACAGGGTTAACCCACCTTATATTCATCATCATCTGTCGTAACAACTCGAATAACTGTAGTTCGTTCAATGTGCCCATCTGGATCAAGCTGTGATAAAAAGAGGAAAACATTTTACTTGCTTACTCTGTAAATTGAACCCCTCCTGAACTATCCAGACATGCAATTTATCGCTAGCTTTTGAGTCTGTTGATTCTTATAGCAGTTCTTTATGCATAGCAGTATTTTACTTCCCAACTGGCCACCAACCACTTGGGTTAAATTTTAGCCAAGGATCAAATACAAACTCTCCATCAACTTTTCCTTGGGTTTGCTTTGCAAATCAAATGGAGAGTTCAGAGTAACATCACTGAGTGCCATATTCCAATAAATTTAACACCCATTACATGTATAGTGTTAATCCTTTCAAACCCCAACAGTGACCTGCATATAATTTCTCCTTAGGATATCACTGCCTAACAAGACAAATATGACTAGAATTAAGGAATTTGAAATCACTGGTGATCCCTGCAATCTGCTTAATTCACAAATCACACTATTTTTTGCTCTAAATCACATCTATTCTAAATCGCGCCATTCATGTTCTAAATCAGATAATTTCTGTCCTAAATTGCACCATTTTTGCTCTATATTGTGTCATTTCTGTTTTGAATACAAAATGAGATGTAAAAGCCTTTTTGTTTCTGCTTTTCAACAAACCGCCCACTTGACCAATAAGGTATTGGTACTCACTGAATTCTGCGATTTCAAAGTGGCTGTAATAAAGTGGTAATTGAACTTCATGTCATGCAATTTTGGTCTGAAATCTAAATTGTGATTTCAGACCAAACTGAACTGATTTTGAAATCAATCGTATGATTTCATACCACATTGCACTCCAATTAGTTCAGTTACCATTATTTATCACCAAGTGCAAGGTTGTCATAAATTCTGGGCAGCAGGTATTGACTTTCAACTCCTCCAAGCACAGTTTAAAGATGGATTGAGAGCCGTGTCAATCCAAGTATTAGATTTTGTAATCTCAGCTCTGACTTCACACACATGCACATTGTAGAATTCCAACAAAACAAAATAAAAATACTAACCTGTATCACATGAGGTTGGGAAAGACAATTTGCAGAACTGAAAATAAAATAAACTGTTCTTAGAGCGTCAACTTGCAATAGTTGCAAGAATACAGGTATATAGCAAAAACAGAGTCTAAATCATGGCAGATAATGTTATAATAATCACCATCATCAGAAAAATAGTAAGCAATAGAAAATAAAAGTAAAAGAAGATGAAGACAGAACAGAAAACATAACTTTGTCAGGAATATATCTCAGAAACTGAAACATGAAGAACCAGAACAAAACTTCTTGAATGTGAAAATCACCTTATAATTAGCTTCTATAATAAGTTGAACAGGGTGCTAAGAAACTCAGTTTTACAGCTTGCCATTCAGGCAAGCTGTAGCTAGCACGTACTAGCCCAAAAGTCAATTCAACTAGCCTGAAAAAAATTTTTTGATGAGCAATGGTTACGGTTCTTCTGTAATTTGAATTCCCCCCAAAACCTTCATCTGCCCATCAGGCAAGTTAAGAATAGAAATCACTAGCCTGTTAGCAAAATACACTAGCCCCGGGCTATCGGACACTACTTTCTTTGTACGCTGTTGAAAAATATTTATTTAAACGACAAGAAGTTAAATTTTCTGACACTAAAAAACTCAACACCCTGTTAAAGGGAAAACACTTTTCAAACAGCTTCAAACTCAACATGTGAAAAGAGAAACATATGCAGTGATTCATCACTGAAGCATATTCAGGATGAAAAACTAATTCAAAACAGTTGTTTTCTCAATGCTTGACTTATCAAAAACCTCCACACCACAAGTCAGTTACTCTTAATTTCCACATGTGGCAACAAATCTGTGTATATCAGGGGCGGATCCAGGATGTTTTTCAGGAGGGGGTGCACTCGTCTCTTGCTCTACTTCAACACCAATAAACCACAAAGTTTTTTTTTTTTTGTAGAATACCAGTTGTATTAGAAAACCGCAGGTCATCTCAGGTGGGGGTGCGCACCCCCTGCACCCTCCCCCTAGATCTGCCCCTGTATATGTTGTCACTTAGAGCATGGACAAATGAGAAACCTTTCCTTCTGCATAGCCCATGACAGTACATGTAAGTCCATCAAGATTGAGCAACAGATCGCAACAATACATTTGGTCAACTAAGCTAACATTATTAAAAAAGACTCACTAGTACATTTGCACATACAACCCAGCATGCATTCACAATAGTGTCTGTTCCTATCAGGGTGGTTACTAACATTTCAAGTTGTTGGGTATAAATTCAACAAGTAGGCCAGGAATCAAAGAGCTAGGGATTTCTTTTGGTTCTATTTTCGAAATTGGCTTGATGGACCCAGCATTTCATTGAATGTGCAGTTTTCTAAGCTGTGCTGTGTTTTTAAGGGTTGTAATCCTTTTCCTTGACAGCTGTGTAACTTGCCCTTACATTGTAAGCTTGCCATAACATATGCTTGAGAGGCTTCTTTACAACTTCCTCTTTCATATAAATGTTTGGTTCCAGAAAATTATCTATACCATCCCCACAGAAGGGCTGGTAAAAAATCAGCCAAAATCAGCCCCCAAAATTTAACCCCCGAATTTCCAAAATTTCCACACAAATTTCCGCTGCACAATTAATGTGGGTGGACCAGCCTCTGTGGTACACAAATTAATGTGGTGGCGCCAAAAAAACTACATATCTGGATAAATACTTCGGTTGTCCAGGTGACAGATTCTCGGCTTTGGTGCACAAATAGACATTCACATGGAAACTTCTCCCAATATTTCAACTACGCAAAAGCCTTCACCTCACAGGCATATTTTGTTTAACATACGTGACGAGCCTTACTTTATATGTACATCACAAATAAGTATTATAATCCTGAATCAAAATGCACTGTTTTTCAAAACAAACACTTTCAAGCTAAAATCTTGGGAACAATGTAAATTTAGAAGGTCTTTTACACCACAAAAAAACTCATTCTATCTGATATTTCAATGCCATTACATGAAGACAACTGTACTTTCCTCTGCAGGGTGGAGTACAAACATTTAAAACTTTGGGGTGTGGTATTTTAGCTAAAAAAATCAAAATATAGCTCAGGAACAGTGAACTGTGTACTGCAGAAAAATAGAGGTTGATTTCAATGTTAAGAAAACTCAGAGCTATTCTGGGTAAAGAATTTTTCCTAGGAAATTAGCTTAGAAAGCTTCCTGGAACATAAGGTGTACTCACTGAATCTGTTTGGTTCAGAAACAGCAAATTTCAACAAAGTACAGTGTTCCACTAATCTATAATATATCCTCTGTCGTCCTATTATTTTTTCAAACAGTCTTTCTTAAAAGAATACAAGTGATGATGGAAGACAATAAAGTTCTCTGTTATCAGCCCAGACAGGTCACAGGTTCATGAAAAATCAACTTCCTCTTTCAGGAATACGAAAGGAATTGAAGTTGCGGAAAATATTATAACAAAAAAAATGAAATGACTTGCGTCGATTCTGTGCGACATAGGGTACGAACAGCGTCTTAAGTGATCGTCTTTTCAGACAGAAGTAAAGTTTTAATCCACTTCCTTCTGCGAATAAAAAAGCTAGAAATTACAAAAACTTCGGTGCCACAAGAAGTGTCTACACCTCAAAAACATTGGATGAGCGCGTAAGATTGATTTTGCTTTCCTACGGGAAAATTATCTAGATCTGTTGCTATATAACAGAATAGTAGCTGAGACAGAAAAAATACTCCAGATGAAAATCATGAACATTTTTCTCATCGAACTTCAAACGTGAGGAGAATTATGCTCACTTGCGCAGCACTAATATCAACCAAGCAAAGAATTACGTAAAGCTGCGTAAAGATTACGCTTTCGCGGGCCTTCTTTAAATTGAAAAAGCAGATTTCTTTCCTTCCGAGGACATATAATCTCTAGACGGTCAGGAAGCACAAAGAAATTGCTGTAACAGTCCGCGATACGTACAAACGAATCGAATTCCCCCATGGAATTTGAAGGATTCCCCGTTTCCTGTTTGTAAAATATCCCAAAACTATGGTCGTAAGTAATTATCCTCAATATTGGGGCTGAAAATTGCGAAGAAAAGAATACATGGAAATGGTTTTTTCGTCTGGTAATATCGGTAGGACGAATTTGCGCAAAATGTAGCTTTGAACAAACAGAAAAATTGTCCGAAAGCACTTAGGGCTTCTTCGGGGTCCCTGCATCGGCAAATTTCGCCGGCACACAACACAACGCTGGGAGCAAGAGAATATAAATGTTCCTAGTTCCTTCAGAGACGTGTCTGTCGTCCACATTCGCATCAAGTTTAAAGAATTCAAACTTTCCTTACCCAGAAATTTGGTTGCAAGCTTCACAGGTGCCTCTTTCCTCTGAAAAAACGGGAAAGACGGAAAATATTTAAGTTTGTGAATTAAAGACATCGCATCACAAAGCCATTGTCTTCTATGGCCGAGGAACACTGCGTGTACACAGTGAAAATTTTGCCACATCGCTCACCTTCAAGAAGAGAGGCATCAAACTGACAAGCCTGATCTTGAGTTTTCTTGGCTCTTTTCTGTATCGTACGTGTGTGCGTCGAACCTTCTTCGTTCGACGCCATGTTATTTCTGGTAGCTAAACACGGCGACCACACCCGAGCAAAGCCAATACACCGACCGCTCTTCCCTAGGGTGGGGTGGGGGTGGAGACTTATCACGTCCACTAGGGAGTGGCCAGGAAAGAATTTTTCACGTTTTTGGGACTTTTTCTTGTCCCACGGCAAAAACAGATCACATTTATCGTAGACTTCTCCAACCACGGATCGACTTTCGCTTTTCAGCACTCTCCATACAAGTTCGTGAATGCACAATAAAATTCAAATTCAGTCGAAAATGAATTTCTTTAGCTTCTTGACCATAATTGATTTAGGCACCGCCCTTCGAGGGGCGTGTCTTTCTCTGATTGGTCAGGAGAACAAAACCTTTTAAAACATCGCTTAACCTTATAAACAAAGACGAGGCGCTGTTTTATAGCTGTGATATAAAGATTTTGCCGGGGAACCAAATAAGAAAAAATTGAAACCAGAAATCCCTTTATACAATTAATTTGTTTTAAGCTGATCAGTTATATAATATTTCAGTTGTTTCTGTGCCTCATGTTTTTTAAAAAATGTCTTCATATGTAATATCTGACTTATTTTAGCACTGAAAACTTATTCAAAGCGCGCATCAGTTTCATAGCAACCAAAGCTCTCGCAAAAGCCTGAAAAATAAAACCTCCGCATTAAACCACAACGTTTTATCGCGTCTAAAAATTATACAATTTTTTTTCATTTCATGAATAATGAGCAAAAAAAGACTTCTTAAGGGAATGATAACCAATCTTTTCCCGAAACATTAGAGCATAAATTAGACCGCTAGGTTAAATAGACTGGTTTCTGTAAGAAAGCTCGCGGCTCAATTCTTTAATGGGCGCTTTTCTCTCTTAGCAAGGCAATGTAAATTTTAAAGCGGAAATCGTAACGTGGAGGTCAAAGGTGTTTATGAAGCCAATTTCCCTCGTTTATGAAAGATTTTCCAATCGTTTGCCATAGTTTGAGCTAATTTAAGCGCCAGTCAACAGTCTTTGATAGAAACTATTCTTCCTCAACGACACAGGAGAAGTCAAGTAATCTTCAATTTACAAATTTTATCGTTAGGAAGATGTTTTAAAAAAACCACCAGCGGAGACAGCAGAAACTCAACAACAATTAGCGTTCAGATAGTAGAGCGCGGGCCTCTTAATTTTTCCCCGGCGTACGCTTTATAAGCTCGCTCCCCACCATTTGAACGCCGCCCTCTACGCTGAACGCCTGTAACAGCCTAAACAACAATGAACTGAAACAGAGGCACAGACATTTTCAACGGTATCATGCATTGCATGATCGTATGGCTCTTGTCGTATAACAAGCAGCGATTTCAAATTGGAGCCCCGGGCAAGCTGAATTCGTGATGACAGCTCCGGACGGCATTGCCGACTTAAACGGCGGAAGAATAAAGGTTTCGTTTTAATTGCCTCAAAATTTGCATCAGTATCTGCATTTCAATCAGTGGGAATGCGCGCGCGCGAGGCTAATTTAGAGAACAGTTAAGCATAATATATTAGGGAAATTGATGACTTTTGCAGTGAGCGCCCTCTTGAAAGTATGTTTAATTTAAGGAGCTGGAGTTTGGGTATGTTAAAATAAAAGGAAGTAACAAAAACGAATGCCCTCTATTATGACTAACTAAAGTCCCTGTATCAGAAGAAATGTCTGAAACAAAAAATATATATATCGTCGAGTTCTCAGTGGCCAAGTTCTCGCACACATGCCACTTAACATGCATATTATTATAAGTAGGGTCTGAAAGTTTACCGACGACCCGAGAGGTTACTAGAGGAACATCAGGGACACCCACCGACAATTTTCGGAAAATATCTGTTCGGAAGACGATTTGAGATCTAGAATTTTCGCAACATTTGTTGTAAAATTTCTTGCTTGCCTGCCTCTCCTAGGATTTTCGAACATCTAAAAAATGGTATAATTGCCTATTTTTAACGGATTTTTACCCTAAAAAGGTCACCTAGAATTTTCGGGAGCCTTTTTTCTGGCCGGAATTTTCGAAAAAGTAAGTTTTGATCGGCTATAATTTTCGGATCATTAGACTTTCAGCTAGGAGATCCGAACAGATGAAAAATTTTTAGGGGATAAAAATATGCCCACATCTACCGTTTAAATACTAAAATACGTTAACAATGCTATGTTTAAATGGTTTTGAACTATATTCTCGTTGGGTGCCTCTGGAACATGTGCTCGGTTTTCTACGTATGAGGAGATTTAGACGGGTATATGCTAAGTTGGATGCTTCGAAGCACTGGATGAGTAGTTGCCTGAAATATTTCAAGTTTACTGACTAATTTCGAGATAAAACAGGCTCTTATACATGGGCCGCAAAACCTGAAGCAGTTTAGTTATCGACAGTCACACGGGTTCAGTTTAAGAGCAGGGTATCGATCAATGTTCAACGCAGCTTAATTAAAGTAAAATCAGTTAATTTCCCGGTTAAGCTTATGGCGAAGTTCCGAAGCTAAGATTACTACTTTCACGGCATGCATGTGTAAAGTTTACCACTACGCCTTCAAAATAAACCAAGTTTTTGTAACTGTACTAAAATGTTTTACTACTGAAGTGAACTGCAACGGGAGTTACCATCGGCACCATTTGCCTACTGCATAATTTTACTCGGGTGTAAAGTGTTTTTAAGGAGGAAAAGAAGCTCAATATTTTCAGAGAAAATGCAAAAATAGTTACATTATCTTATTATTTTATTTTTGCTCATGTTTTTACTTAATGGTAAGTGAAACCCCACTAATAAATGTAACGCAATACACCTCAGACGTCATTTGGTTTTTTTTTTTTTCGCCGGGGTGGAAAGTCAATGTTGCGAATCTTCTGATCAGAGATGACACGAAAACGTCTAGACTTCTCATAAAGTGATTAAACATGGAAACCTCGATTCATTTAAATCCCGAAAGATTTAGCTCGAATTAAGATTAGAGCAAATTGAAGTCCGCATTTAAGACACTACTGTCTCTCTAAATCCCCTGAGCCAGATACTCCGCCCAGCCTTGGATGGATTTATAATAAAATAAAAACGTGTTATTAAATTTTTCACCGTCACGCGGTCGGCTAATAGTCTTTTGAATCCCGCCAAGTGTTACTAATATACAGAACAAGGAGTCACTAGAGAAACTGCGGAAAAAAAGATCTTACATCCTCAATTACCGTTCTCTTCCCTAGAGACATGCGGTAAATCGGCCACTGATAAGGAGGGTGGTCTTTGCTCTGGACGTGATGAAGCTAAAAAGGGCCGTAGCGCTCAAATGCTCTAAACATCGCTTTTGTACGCCCGCTTTATGGTAGTCTGTATGGTTTCGTCAGCGATACAAGTAACGTAACAGGGCAAACACGGAAGACTAATAAGCCTTATGTTCTGAAAAACAGAACGCCGGTGCCAGCGCAAGCAGAAAAAAAGTTTAAAGTAGAACAGTTGGGCTATTTCGTCCTCACAAACGTGTCAAATCCTCGGCCATTCTGCCAAAACATCTGAGCTGCTCCTTATTACAACGCCGTCTGCGCTGTACCTTCTTCTGTCATTATCAGTTCAATTGACGTCGATACGGTAACGGACTGATCCGGGTACTGTTCCAAATTTGGTCAACGCCAGCTGGTTATATGGACTGCGGAGTCGAGGGATTTAGGCCAATCCGAAAAGGAGCTATACGAAGTTAAGTCATTTGCTGATTAACTCCCGCGAAATGATTTACAGTCACACCTTTGGGACAAACGGAAGTGTCTGTCTTAGACAGAGGTGGTGTCTGTCCAAATAAAGGGAGTACAAAAGGCTTGGTCTAACTCTAGGTGTCCCGTTTTACATAGGTGTCCGTCTTAAAGAGGTGTCCGCTGAGAGAGTCGAGTTGTAATAGAGTACTATCCATATCGATGCCCTTTCATGATTACACTCTTATTTTGCTGTTTTCTGACGTATTGGCACAAATTTTCAGAAACTCTTTCACGGCGGGTTAAGTACAATCCAGACAGTCACTCTGTTTTAGAGCTTTCTGAGACTAGCCACAAACCCCCGGAGGCAACCCTTTCCCTTCAGTTCGGTTTAGATGGATATGTGCTGCTAAACAGGGTATGGTTTTCAGGGTTAAAATAAGACCGAATGACAGTTTGCTCGATTCAACAGGATGAAAACAAAGGCGATGCCCGGTATCAGGGTATCAACTGTAAAATTAACTATCTCTTCAATCCACTCCTCTGGGCTCTGTGCCTGATCCTCATCCTCGGAGACCCAGGTACCCAGGGGCAGTCACACGGGTGGGGAGAAATTAAAAACTTTCTTTGTGCCTTTTCTCCCGACCCGACTGACTCAGTGCCATGCCTGATCCTCGATGATCCTTTATATTAGATTGGTTCGAGACATATTGAGAATAGGGGGAGACACATATTTTCAACTACATGACGCTGATATTTAGGGTGCTCGCGAAGAGCCTGGAGAGGAGTCGGGATTTTCAACATGGCGGCTGCAAAGCCGTGGTTTTACACTATAAGAAAGCACCGAAAAAAGTCTATAGCTGCTGCATTGTTCGCTGGTTGGCTGACAAATTATGGAGTTAATAAGTATAGGTAATTTAGAGGTGGAAATATTTTGGTATTAGTAGCTATAGAACATAGCCTTGATCATGAATTAACAGCCTTCTTTGTGTCTATTCCTGACAGAGAATATATGATAAGAAGGGAATTGTGCCTGGAAGCAAAGGTAAGTGAATCAAGAAATTATTGTTTCTTTTAAGAATTGTATTTGTTTCAAGGAATTTGGTTGAAAAGTTCAGAAGAGGTCAATCACAATTCATTAAAGATAGGGCTAGCTCTTGACAAACTGTTCGACATTAATTTGCTTCCTAAGTGTAGCTGCTGTGATCGGCTCAAGGATTTTCTAATTTCATTAATTTTAGGACAGCTAAATAACAGCACTCTAGCTAGCTTACCTGTAAGCACTGATATTTTCTTGCTGATATCTTCACTCTAGCTATACAACCCAGTATTTTTTTATAAAATGATGGATCTGGTGGATCTCTAGCGTGATATCAAATGCTGGAGTCATTTTAACTGTAAAAAATAATTAGCACCTGATTGAAAAATGTTCAATAGCTTAATTTTTAACAAGAATAATATTAAACAATTATTTGATTTGAAGTAACTTAACAGTGTAGTTATGGCATTTATTTGAAGGTTATTAAGTGCTTTAAGTTCACTGAGCTTGTAATTAATTTGGGCTAAACAGTGTGCTACTCTTGCTCCCACTGACTCTGAGCCCTGTGACTTAACTTTGATTATAGGTTTATGGTGAGACAACACTACCATCTCTAAAGAAACCGAGGAGACTCACATTGTTTTTCAATCCTGCAGCTGGAAGGTAGGTATAGCAGCAGTCAGAACATCCTGAAAACAAGACGCTTCATATTTTACAGCTTGCAGATGTTGAAAATAAATTTTATTTGCATACAAAAGCAGTGTCTCACAAACAATTCTAGGTGGCTAATTTTATTATCCCATGTGAGACTGAGAGGGCATCGCATTGCAAGTGTTTTGTATTTGATGCATTTTCATCCTCTATTAGAGAAGTGCAATACTTTGTACTGTACATGTAAGACACTAAGTTACAACTATGTTTTCATATTGTTGTATTTCTATATCTGTCATAAAAAAATTAGCACCAAACACAGCCCTTAGCCACAAAGCTCTCAGAAACCTCCCTTTTCGTTGGCCTTCGAAAACAAACCTGCTATTGCTTTTAAGGGCATTGTTTGGCTCATTTATCTGTTGTTATGTTACCGAAAGGAACAACCTGTTCTGAGAGCTCTGTGGTGCATCAAACAAGTGGCCAAAAAGCCACAGGGTAATTGTAAGCTATCGGTTTTAACCTCTATATAGAATTAAATTTATTATTCATAGTGGGTGCTCAGATATGTTTGCCAAATACATGTATGCTAAAAAGAAAACTTGGAAATTAAACAGCTATTGATTTTACATAAAATTCCTTCTTTTTTCCCCTTTTAGTGGAAGTGCTGATACACTTTTAAAGAAAAATGCTGAACCTATACTTCATATAGCAGGCCTAGACATAACCATTGTTAAGGTATCGTGTACTTAAACATTTTTTATTTATTAATAATAATAACTCGTGGTTATTAAGCTAAATTCTCAGTAAGCGTTCTCTTACTTCAAGTCTGCCAATGAAATCCTACCATTCAAATCAGATGAAAGCTATCAAGATTGCTTTCATGCAATTATTGCTTATTGTGCTTTTAATTTACCTGATGTTTATAATTTCTTAACTAACTACTTCAGAACTTTTACCAGATATGTCCAGGGAAGCAAATGTATGGGATTCAGGCACTTTTATATAATAGACACGCCCTAATTCTCATCTAAACACAAGGAATAAATTAGAACTGTCTGCATTAAAGTCAATGGAAATAAAAACTATTGTGTCTTAATATGAAGTCCCTATTAAAGTTCCAAGTTTTTTTGCATTTATGGACTTTTATGCAACTTTAGAGTACTCGATTTATCTTGTAAAAAATGCTAAGTTTTTGAGGATGGAAAATTATGTGTCAAATACGGCATACAAATGTTCTTTTTTCAGACAGATTATGAAGGGCAAATTAAAACCTTGACACAGTATATTGATCCAAAAACAGATGGAATTATTGTTGCTGGAGGAGATGGCACTCTGCTTGAGGTTAGAAGCAAGATCTTGTATCTTACATATCAGATTCCTGTTAATGCAGGCTAGATTTTCAAAACAAATATAACTCAAGGACTTTAAAATTATCAGCAAGTTTACATTTGAAAAACATTAAATTTTTAAAGACCTGTTTCGGATGCATCAACATCTATTGTCCCTCAAGGATCTTAACAAAATAGTGGCAAATAATATATAGTTGTATACAGTTGAATAACAAAGGTGCCAATAATATTATTATTCATTTGGCACTCTTTATTACATACTATACATGTATAATAAGAAAAGTAAGTAGATACAATGTATACCTGCCAACTCTCACGCCTGCGGGCCAATTTCTCACGCCTGATTGAAAAATGTGAGTTGTTGCCGTCCTGCTTGACACATTTCCAAAAATATGTTAACTCAGACCCATGTAAGGAACGAAAACCATGTGTAAAATGAATGAATGGCAATACCTTCCTCGCGATCTCTGATTTTTGAAGTGAAAAGCACTGGTAGCAAGCTCGCCTTTGGCAGACTTCGGCAGACTTCAGACGTCTTCGGGCTTCCTCGGGAATCTTCGGAAATGATCATGTCGTCTTCAAAAATCCCAGCACTCCCACAGGACCCAGGATAAAAATCTCGCGCTTATATCTCAGAAAAAGTTGGCAGGTATAACAATGCGACATTTTACTTGGCAAGCATAGGAGAAATCAAGATTTTAGAAGCCTGTTTGGTTAATCTGGAGTTGCCCCTAATAACAATTTATCTATTCAGATGTCTTTGGTGAACTTTGGTTGTCACGGAAGTTTTAGGTAGCTTTTTCATCTCATCCGAAAGCGTTAGCTATCCTTATGGGTCTGGTGGAAAGTACGAGAACATGAAGTAGCCGTGCTATCTTTCGAAAATTTTAGGGGACGTTAAAGTCTTTACGCCGAAAGTTTTAGGAGACCTTTTTTTCAACAACAATCGCAATATATTGGTATTAAAAACAAATGGGACTAACACAACCTCCGAAAATCATAGTTAAGCTATTAGAAAATGTCCGAATATTTTAGACGAATGGAACAGTTATCCAGAAAATTTTAGCTTTTCATAAGCTTTAAAATTTTGTAGGGAATATTATTTTGCTCCTTCAAATAGTTATTTTACAGAAAAAAGTCGCTGGGTGCCCGTGATGAGTTGAGAGGTTGTAGAACTTCTGAGGTACTGTTTAAAGAATGAGCTGGAATGTTTTATCAGGTTAAAAAACTCGAGGTGAAGCTGAGAGTTTTTAAACCTGATAAAACACCACTGCGATTTTTTAAACAGCTTCAAAATGTCTTATTAGTTCAACTCATTCTTGTACTAATATTTAGATTTGGGGTTATTTTGCTCTAAAAAATTGGCTGTAAAGTTTAGCCGTGCCTTAATCAGACAGAAAGACACTCATTAAACATTGATTTCTTTAATTTGTGTATTCTTAATGAATTACATGTTGTGTTAATGACTTTTTGAAGGTAGGTAGATGTAATTTGCCACCCTTTGAAGAATGCTACACTAGAAGAAACCATTTTTCAACAGAATGCATGGATGTTGGATGTCTGCAGTGTGTAAACCAATTTTGATTTTTCCCATTGATGTCCATCAATTGACATCCCTTCTGTTGAAAAATGTTTTTCTATGCAGCATTAATCAAAGCCTGGGTAAAAAAATCATGTGTTTTTTTCCTTGTTTGTGGATTTAGGTCGTGACAGGGTTTTTAAGACGGAGTGATCAGGTACATTATTTCACATAGTAGTCTACCTACTTCGACTTCTGCTTGTTGTTTCATTTTACAGTTTTAGTTTAAAAGGTGATGTTAACAATATTATTTAAATTTCTGTTTGCCAGGAAGAAATTTCTAAGATTCCTATTGGAGTGATTCCTCTTGGAACCCATAATTCATTTTGTAACAGACTTTTTGCCGACAAACATGTGGCAGAGGCAAGGTAAGAAAAGTAAATTTTAACTTACATGTTACATGACATGTACAATTTATTAAAATACAATGTATTTTGCTTATTTATGTTGACTCTGTGACTTGTCACTATATCTAAGGACATTCTGCTTTTCTCTAGAACTATTGGAAATGCAGCATTGGCCATCGTCAAAGGTTATATCAGGCCAGTGGATGTGATGGAGATCAAGGTCAGTTTTTGTCATGATTGAAACTGGAAATATCATAATGCCATCTAGCCTCCCACACAGGCGTTTTCAGAGGAGCTCGTTTTTCATCCCTCCCCACAAACGCCTGCTCAACCGAAGACAATATTCCTTTCCCAAGCTTAGCCAATCACATTGTACTTTCCAAATTCTGGAAAGTTGACCTTGACCGCACGGTAATCTGATAATTACTTGATCTGCATAAAACACTTGGAAAGCTTTCTGACCTCTAATAAATGATAGATTCAGAGCAGCAAAAGTAAGATTTAGTCAAATCTTAGAATATTTCATGCACTGCATAACCTTAGTGAAAGAAAGAAAAGAAGGAAAACGGTAACTCTAAGGTCATGTTTTAGTCGTGTTTAGCCTGTCAACACGTTATTTCACAACTGCTGATTGGTCACTTACCATGCAAACAAAACAATCGGAAAGGAATGTTGTTTTAGGTTGAGCAGGCATTTGTGGGGAGGGATTAAAAACTTTGGGTATCCACAGAGGCAGCTTTGCTTTCTTTTGTTTCAGGGTGATGAAGGTCGTTCAACTTTTGCGATGTCTAACCTCCACTGGGGTGCTTTTAGAGATGCAAATGAAAAGCAAGACAAGTAAAAAGTGTATTTACATTATTTACAACCAATACTTGAATGATTATTACCAGGCAGCCTTCTTTTTTTTCTTTCTGAGAACAGGCATCCACAAATTTTAATAATATTAAAATTTTTCTCTTGGGAAGTTTTTTTTGTTGTCTAGTTGTGTACACACTGCCCTTTTTGGGGAATTTTCTTGAATCAAGGAAGCCCCATATCCCTTACCATCCTGGTCAGTGTACTGAACCCATTATGGGCTTAGAAGGAAAAACAGATTATTAATTTTTATTCAATAGTGTACACTTAAAGATGAAATAACCATTACAGAGTAGTTTAACCTTTTACCATACTTGAGTGGTTTAACAGTGACTCTGACTAGTGTACTAAGAACCTTGATGAATTGTTTGTTAGAACAGGCTAGGGTATATATTAGTGGCAGTGTGCAAAGAAAGTTGTCTCTGATAGCCCAGGGCTGGTGGATTTTGCTTATCGCGTTAGTGATTTTTGTTCTTAACTTGCCCAATTGGCAAGTGCAGTTTTTTGGGAAATTCAAATTACAGAAGGATTGTAATCAATCCTGCTGATCAAAAAGGGTTTTGGGACTAATTGAAATGACTTGTGGGCTAGTACATTCTAGCTACAGCTTGCCCGAAAGGCAGGCTGTAACACTGACTTTCTTTGCACCCTGAGTGGTATATCACTAACTAGGGTCCTGTTCCATACATCCTGATTTCTAACCCCTTAAACCCTACATTTGCATTTTGCCCCTAGACATTTCCTATAGAAGTGGGGATTGAACTGTTGACTTTTTTTTTATGTGCATGTATCCCCTAATGCTTGTGACCACTCTGTTTTATAAGCATAACAGCTACATGTTTGACAAAGAGGAATTTGGTGGGATGATTGTTCTTAGTTGCCAAATGAAAAAAAAAAGAAGAAAGATACAATTTTGTAAAATTTAATAGCAAAGTGCAAGAGTTCTGACAGGATTTCACCCACAGATTAAAGACAAATAATTTTCATTTGCCATATAAATAATATTGTGGTCTAGGAGTGAAGGGAATTTATATTATAACTGGGATTTCATCGGGGTTCGTTACATGACTGTGTATCAGGGTTTTACTGTGCTTACTAAGCATTCTGATTTAATAAGGAACTTACGTCAAATACTTGTGTTATAAGGTTTTGGATGGCCGGCCCCTTCAGGAGGAAAATGTCATACCTTGTAGCAGCTTTCAAGGTCTGTAGAAAACAGTGTGGGTTATACTCTACGAAATAAGGCTTTAAAGACTGAGCATAAGTAACCAAGGTTTGTGGGATTCTCTCTTGTGCAAATCAATTTAAAAACTCAGTCATTTTCTTCTGAGAGTCCTTGGAGTAATTAATATTGTGGATATAGAGAAGAGAGGTGCACAATGTCACAAAAATTTTTCAAATTTGCTAAATTATGGGATTGGTTAGCACATTCAGAAAGGACAAGATGAAAAAATCAGCCTGTTAGTGCAAATTGGTGGGTAGGAATAATCACTGGTTTGCTCTGATGACACCACACAAATCCTTCTAGAATTGGCTTGGATTGTAACGTTAACAATCCAGGCCTGTTTTAGAAGGATTCATACAGAGTCATCAGAGCGTAACATTGCTTACAATATTGTATATCTCCTCACCAAATTGCACAAACAGGCTGATTTTTGGCAAGTGAACATTTTTCATCTTGTTCTTGCTGGATATGCCAATCATTCTCATAATTTCACAGAGTTGGTTTTTGTGATGCCATCACTTCTGTTCTCTTTGTTTTAAAATCATAAACTGTATTTGGACATCTGATGCTTTTCATTTAAAGTTACTCTTTACTTTCAGGAATGGCCTCCAATTGTTAATACCCTCCTTACTTACCCAACAAGCCAGCCAGTAGAGAATGAAAGGTCATTGAAGAATGCATCATCCAGCCCACTGGGGCAAGTTGCATCCCATGTTCTGGCTACAGCCAACTGCGAGACAACCATTGAACCACAGGGAAGGCATTGTCTTGCAGAAGCTGGGAGCATTGTCTCAGATGGATGGATTGCTAGTCCTGTTCAAACTTTTGGTCTTACTGTGAAGCCATTCAGGAAAGCAGGTGCACAGGTATACATTGTACAATGTACCACAATAAAACTTGATTAAACTAAAAAAAAACAAACCGATAGAAAGACACCCTCTGCAAAGCAAGCCTATCGGTTGCCTGGAAAGCCACAATGCACCTTGACGTCAAGATGGACACCAGAGATGATCATTCCTGGCTTGTGATCCTCGTGGGAGTAATGCATGTTGCAAATTCCAACAAAATTTTAAACTCGCTTTCACAAGGAATAAATTAATAATGACCGGAATAACACTGCATGAACTGTAGAATTTAGGATTGGTTACTCTGTGTGGGTACGACTTCACAATAATTTTGTTTAATAAATCTGTAGGACGACAGTTTTCTTGAAGTGAAATTATGGCCATCAGACCTCACAAAGACAGAGTTTATCGAAACTGGGTAAGTCATCAAATCCTAGGTAACTCTTTTTTTATTCTGATTTATTCATAAAATTAAAAATCTAAAACAAACATATGAAAGTTTCCCTTTCCGGTTTACACGGGTTCAATGCTTTTTTTAGCACATTAGCTTTGCAAAATTACACAGCCAAGTTGTGATCTCCTGTCTGGAAAATGATACAGTTTTACATAATAATAATTTAAATTTATAATTCTATTAAAATTCTTCACACAACAGATGGAGGATGGAAAAGATGGAAAAGGAAGAAAAAGAAGGAAGTTACAACCAAGAGAATTCATCAAGTAATGTATTTTGTATTCCCAGATGCTTTTAATCATTGTGCTTGTGCTGCAGGGTTTGACAAAACCTTGTGATTGTCCAGGACGAAAAAAGTAGACCCAAGCAAATTTTCCTGTTGGGCAAGCAACGTTTGGTAGCTGATAGGCAAAGCCCAGGCAAATCCCCTTTTTATTTAATCATACACTTTCAAAAAGGGATGTAGAGGCCCTTAAGTAACAAGAAAAGTATTGAAGCTCTTGTTTATCTTAGGGACCAGCTGAAATTCAAATTTTCTTCAATCTCTGATGCTCTAAGTTGTTAGAGATGAACTGTCAGTAGTAGCTATCATTTTGTCAACCACTTAACTATAAAAGCAAACAATGATGCTTAAAATAATATTATATTATCTTCCTCAGGACACAGATGTTTGATTGTAAAACAACTGAAGCTGGAACCCAGGGATGAGAAGGTTGAGTTTTCTTGACAGATTATTAAATAATAATATTAATAAATAATAGTTATAATTTTGTTTCTCGTTTTTTTTTCAATGGTCTTAAAACAATATTTTCTTAAGCATGTTATTGAAATTCAAAGCTTCTCACATAGTTATTTCCCTTTTTTGTAGGTCTCATGGTTTTCTATTGATGGTGAGCCATTTGAAGCCAGGGAAATAACAATAGACCTTCTACCCAAGAAACTCCACTTTTTCTTTAATCCAAAAAATATTAAGGAAAGCCAAATGTGAATTTTTATTACAGTCGATGAAGTTAGTAGGACATATTTTTGGAAGCTCATCTGACGGTAATAGATTGTACCTCTTGCTGGAAAAGTGACTTCACAGCAGAATCATTGCAGTAACTCCTCCACAGGTACATACAGGAAAACGTTCTTAAGAAGACTGTTTTGTGAACTAAGAAGATTTATGTTTGTACTCTAAAGGGGAATTGCATGGTTAAGGATTGAGAATCATACACTAAGAAACTAAAGTACTGAAGTATAACAGTTACTGAAACCAAAGAACAGTTATTGCAATGGACACACGTTATAATCAGTTATTTACATGTATCCTATTTTATAAACTGTACATTTAAATAAAAATAAATGAAATAAAAAATTTTGAAAACATTTTTATTGATGTTTGACATGAAAATTATTAAAATTTTTCATTCCAGAATCTTGTTACTGTTTGGATAATTTGGCATTTGCTGTTAAAAAGACAAAATAATACTGCAATGTTTATTTTTAAAATAGGGAATTTTCTGCCGTTGTGGTTGACATTAAAGATGATTAGTGACCAAACAAGACAACAAGAAAAAAAAGAAAAAAGGTGCATACTCCACTGAGAGGGCAATTAAACTTCCTTTAAATACACCATATGGTTTGATTATTTTTCCCTTTTTTGACATTATTCTTCTTTATTCCACTTCTGCTTAGATGTTATGGAGTTGTCAATAACATTATTGTTTGTTGCAAAATAATAATAATAATAATAATAATAATAATAACAAAGTGGCATAAACTAGAAGTTATCAAGTTTCCATACAGAACTGGTGTTTTTTGCTAATAAAGTTTTCTATTTAGGATATGAAATTTAATGTGATTTATTGCCAGAGATATTTCTTATTTTTATTATCATTAGAGTTTTAAATGCCTGCTCCTTGGAGCCAAATTGTATTAATTGAACTTTCCAAAAAGTTACATCATTACTGGTATAGTGTACCTAGAATCTGTGAAACCTGCTTGTTTGACATAGTACTGGGAAAGCATATGATACCAACAAAAAAATTCTAGTTTCTTTGAAACCATATTACAGTATGCCTTAACTCATCTTTTTAACGTAGCTGCAGATCTTTTAAATAAAATGTCTAATTGATTTATAAACTCTAAGCTGGTAAGAGAATATTGCAGCCACATCTCAATGTTACTGAGAATAAAATTCCCTTATATGCCTCAATGTTGAAATATTTTAAAGTCTTTAAGGGCTTCAGATAGAATTCTGTTTGTATAGTGCTTGAGGTTTGATCAAGGGCATCCTTAAAATGTCACTTTGTAATTAGTCTCCTTTGCAGGCATGACTGTCCTGGTCTAACCATTACAAAAGGAGTTGCCTATGGAGGAGGTTGCTACATAATATTAAATGTCTCACAATTCAGCATGGCTTAATCTTGGCCCTCTTTTCTTTTTCTCTTTTTTCTTCTTGCTTTTCTTTGATATACTTTCTTGTTCACTGTTCTCTTTATTTTTTTGCTGAAAGAAAATTGAGGCAAGCCCAAAGTTAACTTCTACAATTAGGTGCTTATTAAATTTGCAACATTGACTACGCATGAGGTCAAGATGGTTTGGTATATATTGGCCTCATTCTTTTTCATTTCTGTGGACTGAGACAAAGTTGAGATGGATAAAAATGCAACAAAGAATTCATGAATGAGGTCAATATCCAGTTATCTTGACCACTGAAACAAACTTAGGTCAATAAAGGATTATTTTATTGTGTGGGCAAAAAGAGAACTTTTTCTTGCTCGACAAACAAGGAAAATCCCAAGTGGGCACGAGCAGCCACCTTGCCCACACGGGTAGCCAATCAGTTGACAGGATTTGCCTTATCTTGCCCGCTTGTGGATTCCGCCATATAATTATAATGATAAAGCTTTGTTGCAGATTCAAATTGATCAATATCCCTTTGAGAATGCTTTTAAGTAAAATTAGGTACCTTCACAGCCACCTTGGTGGACAGACTTAGTAATAACACAGTGGCATTAAAAGGAAACAACATTTGAAACGATGACAACCTCTGAATTTCCTGCCCTACTGTCTTTAGGTTTTTATTATTTGTTTCAGCAAAAATACATGCCAAACTAATAAATCTTATTTTTTCAAAAGTTGAAAACAGTTAAAAACCTAAGAGCACAAAACCTTAAAATTCAGTTTAAAATATTAATATTAACAATGGAAAAAAATTACATTAAATCGCTACAGTAATTTTGTATTTAAAAAAGAGCCTATTGACAAAACTATTTTTAAGCACCGGGTATTAACCCTAGGGAATTAGCTGCTTGGAACTCGGAGGTGCACAGAGCTTTCTTTAGTTTTTGGGAGGGATTAGGATACAAAGGCTGGCTGGGCATGCTGGAGATCTTTTTGAATAGCATGCAATCTGCGTTTTCTAAGACATCGTATATGTAATTTGGACTGTTGTTAATTGAGGTTTTGAGGACGCATATAATTTTCTTTATAAAGGAAGACCGTGAGCCAGTTTCAGTAAAACTACTGTGTTTGTAAGTTTTATTCTGTAGCAAGGCCTTGTACTTAAACCAGCTTAAAACTGGCCTAGCTGTTTTAATCTACCCGGTTTTAATTAGAGACAGAGTACTTAGCACATACCTCTTTCTTTGCTTTTTTTCTGTATGGATTTATATAATTAGGATCCCTTGGTACAAGCCTCAATTCCTGGGCCATCTAAATTATTATGAATAGAAATGCCAGTTATTCAATGTAGCCATATGATAATTACTACTCAACTGTAGGGCTAGCTGCAAAAATAGAACAATAATCTTGTCTTTTCTCTAGTGAACGCCTTTATGACTGGCAGCTGTGGAAAAATCAAATTTGAGATAACTTGTGTGTATACCTGCCAACTTTTTCTGAGATATAAGCGTGAGGTTTTTATCCTGGGAGTGCTGGGATTTTTGAAGACGACACGATCATTTCCGAAGATTCCCGAAGAAGTCTGAAGTCTTCCGAAGATGTCCGAAGTCTGCCGAAGTCTGCCAAAGGCGAGATCGCTCCCAGTGCTTTTCACTTCAAAAATCAGAGATGGCGAGGAAGGTATTGCCATTTATTTATTTTACACATGGTTTTCGTTCCTTACATGGGTCTGAGTTAACATATTTTTGGAAATTGTGTCAAGCAGGACGGCAACAACTCACATTTTTCAATCAGGCGTGAGAAATTGGCCCGCAGGCGTGAGCCGGTGTGAGATCGAAGTTTTCAACCCGCAGGCGCGAGACTCACGCCTAAGGCGTGAGAGTTGGCAGGTATATGTGTGTTTCCAAGGAGGTTTAAAATTAAATGGTGTTTCAAAAACTCTCATGGACAACAATTATTGACATGTACATGATAACAATAAAAATTTTAAAGTCTCAGCTTTTACAAAGACACTGTAATTTTCAAGGGTGGGAATGTAGCGTCATTAATTTGACATGTCCTACTAAATAAGTTTCAAGATCAAAACAAAAAGAACAACCCTAGACTACGAGTAGTCCCCCATTTTTCCTCAGGGATGGTAGAGCAAGCGAAAGGCGAGTGAGCGTGAAAATCACCCCACACGAGAAAAGGTGACACGTGGCATGTCACCTTTTCTCGCGTGGGGTGATTTTCATGCGAGCTTGCGTTTTGCTTGCTCTACTATCCCTGAGGAAAAATGGGGGACTACTCGTAGTCTAGAACAACCTGTAGTTTACAACTCACCAAGTGCAATAACTTTGAGTCTGTGTCATCATAGACTTTGGTTTCATTACAAAAGCTCACACTCCATCTGGCAAGAAGTTCCCACTCTTTGGATTTACGATAAACCTGAAATTTGTGTAGTGATCAAGTGAAATTTAGACTACAAGTGGGCCCTTAAATATTTGCCTCAAAATAGTAGAACAATGCAACCAACATAAAGAAGCACGCATGTACAAAAATTGCCTCCTGCTATACTAGTAGTTGCATCACATGAAGAGAAGAGGGGTGGGGATAAATAAACCATGTGCGCAATAAAACCAGAGATAAACTCTTTCTTTCAAACAAACTTTGTTTTTAGATGAGTTAATGGGCAGCCAGGGTATGTAAATATTAATGTCAATTTGAGAAGAAAAAGCTGTGGAATGTGAATAAATAATATATTGTTTACAGACATGCGACTGGAAATGTCTATTGCAGAAATGCTACTTTTCCTTTTTAGCAAAATCAAGTTACTGGGTACACATCTTTTAATTTAAGCCTTTAACACTTTAAAATAAAGTCTGATTTTTTGTTTTACCTCATGTGTTATATCAGGAAGGCGAAGAAGAATATCACCAAAGAGGGCTGTGTTCTCTAAGACATTTGCCAGAGCTGTTAAAAATATGGGTACATATTGTATTCTTTGTCAAAGACAGTAATTAACTAGTCAAGATATACATAAAGCATTTCCCCTCAACTCAAAATTTTTCTGCTACTTCGACCCGAGCTCAATCTACTCAGCTGTAAATTACAATAACCCCAAAGTACTGCTAGCTGGATCATTCAAAAACTACCTTCTGCACGACAATTGTGTTCAAAAATAAAAGCTTTCACCACTATTTTAACTACCAGCCATCAACAGGCCACTTTTGCATTAAGAGGTCACCAACCAATTAATGCTTCCCTTTAGACAATGAGTTAGATTCAATCTTGTTGATAACAAAGCTTGACATTAAAAAGCATATTAAAAATTATCTTACACCCAAAACTTGAGAGGAAACACATTTAAGAGAGATATTTTATGGCACACTGATGTTTTTCGACAAAGTAGTATGATTTGTATTGGGCACCATGTTGGACGACATACTCCCTCCAACATGGCAGCCAAAATTAAACTACTTTTTGCTTGTATATTAATTGTTATACGTTTGACTAGTTACACTCAAATGTACTGTAAACATTTATCACATCACCTTTTCAACATTTGAAATACTTGAAGTTTAAGTGCAGAATTTGTGTTCAAATTCATAATTTTTAAAATCACTTTTTGGTCACGCATGACCAGCTATAGCCTCCCACGCAGGCGTTTTTAGGGGAGCTCGTATTTCTTCCCTCCCCACAAACGCCTGCTCAACAGAGGACAACATTCCTTTCCCATTGTTGCATTCGCGTGGTAAGTGACTAATCAACGGTTTTTAAATAAAGTGTTGACAGGCTAAGCATGACTCATAAGCTCGTGATATGAAAAAACGTGACCCAGAACGTGACCCTAGAGTTACCTTTTTCCTTCTTTTCTTTCGTTCGCTAAGGTTATGCAGTGCACAGAGAATTCTAAAATCTGACTGAGTAAATCTTACTTTTGCCGCTCTGAGACTAACATTTATTAGAGGTCATGAAGGTTTCTTAAAGTTTCATGCAGATCGCGTGATTATCGGGTTACCCTGCGGTCAAGGTCAACTTTCCAGAATTTGGAAAGTACAACGTGATTGGCTAAGCGTGGGAAAGGAATGTTGTCCTCTGTTGAGCAGGCGCTTGTGGGGAGGGAAGAAATACGAGCTCCCCTAAAAACGCCTGCGTGGGAGGCTAGACCAGCTATGACCTTTACTCACTTTAAGAAAATGGTGTGGGTTTGAAAAACCAAATCACATATTATTTTGTTTGAAATATGACCCAATCGTGGTTTTTCAGAGGCAAATTCATACAACTTTCATATTTTTCGTAAAAACGATATCACATGACCTCTTTATAGTGCAAAATGTTCTATAATAAAACAAGTCACCTTCTAGTTGTGCCTGTTCTGTGGGAAATGCTTGTCCCGGGATATATCCTGACTCTGTTACTTTGACTCTTGCATCCTGTAAAACCTGTGAATCAAAAAACTCCAGTTCATAAAGACTTATTCACTAGCTATAGTCTAAAATGAAATTTGTGCTGTGTTTTGGGCAAATTCACATACAAATTCTCCTGGATACATTTTCTTAGAGATTAATTTGGTCAGCAGAATTTGATAAAAGATCAAAACATTAAAATTTTTCATTTTGGTGATAGTTTTCATAACCTTTTTCTTCGATTATGTTGACATTTGTTTGGCGCAAATTGATAATCATGATAAATGCGTAGTTACCAGAAAACTTAACGCTTATAGCTTATTGCTATATCAGCTGATGGTGAACTGTACTGACAACAACTAATTTTACTGACACCATGAGATACAGAGAACCAGGTTTTGCTTGGTTTAAAACAGTTATTATTGATTTTTGTGATGCATCTGGAAGGCTTGGGAAGACAGGTGAGAAATCCCAATCCCCCTCAACTTCACTATGGGCTATATACATGTAGTTATGTGCCGCTGTGAAGGGTGTGGTTTTCAAGCAGTTTACTCTGGGATGGGGGATATAAATCAGAGAGTTTGGGTCTAGAATAAAGTATGATTTTCCAGGAAACTGAACAATTGGTTGAAGATTTTAGTCTAGGCCAGGGAAAATTGGGAATTGCCCCTCAAAAATATTAAAAATTCAAATCAACAAGTTTAAGGTGGCTCCGTAATTAATACAAGAGCATTTAGCTGTGACAAATTTTCCGTCATAACTTTTTGGTTTTTAACGCGATGGCTGCGAAACTTTGCAAAGAACAACAGATATCATTAGGCAATGATTCGAAATATTCCGAGTTCACTGATGGTAAATATTTCTCGAGAAATTAGCGCTTAAAAGGACCCTACTGTTCAAAGAAAATCGCGTCTAGTAAAAAATTTTGCTGATATTTTTTACTGAAATTTCTGGTATCGGCTTTAATTGATATAATAAATATGCCAGAGGAATTTCAGAAAAATCGTTGGAGCAGAAGTCCGAAACTAAAAGTCGCTCAAAATTCAGCTGTGAAATTGTTTTGGAATTTCAAAAATAAATTACCATCAGCGAGAAGGAGCCACCAGTTTGAATTTTCGGGACAAGTAAATTCAGTGTTTGCTAATTCTGAAAACAGAAGCCGATTGCCTATCGTGCTATTCTTTAAAAGGTACTGTTCAGTTTTAGAAGCACTATAAATTGCTTCAAAACTTTGCTCTGACTTCGAATGACTTGTTGTCCTTGTTCCTCGACATTTTTAAAATATCCCTTAGCAGTTTTGGTTCAAACTCCTGCTGCACACATTTTGATGTATTGCAATGCATCCTCAACGGCTTTTCCTGCTGCTGTACGTTGTTTCCAATTCAGGAAAAAGGTATTGGGATTGTAAGCTACCTTGTATCAAAGCTCAGATAGAACTGTCCAGCACCTTTGTTTATGACCAGAAAATGAGCACGAAGCGGCACTTGTGCGAGGAATTCGCCACCTCAGCCAGGGGGGACGAATGACAATGATGCCCATGTCTGTGAACCGATCTGTATAAACATGTATTGCAGAGCAAAACATAATAATCAAGAAAAATACCCATTCATTGAGGGAAGGAGTGACAAAAAATTCCAGAGTTGTAAATTTATTCACGGGCAGTATTTTTAAGATAATTTTATTTTGGACTGTGATGTTATTCGTTCACAGGCATGGTCATCGATGTCGTTCGTCCCCCCTGTGTGAGGTGCGAATTCCACGCAGAACTGCCGCTGGTGCTCATTTTGTAGTCATAAACAAAGGTGCTGGACAGTTCTATCTGAGCTCTGGTACGAGGTAGTCCAATCTCAATACTTTTTTCCTGAGTTGGAAGCAACGAACAGAAGTAAAAGTCGTTGAAAATGCATTGCAATACATCAAAATGTATGCAGCAGGAGTTTGAACCAAAACTGCCATGGGATATTTTAAAAATGTCGAATAAGAACAAGTAATTCTACCTCAGAGCAAGGTTTGGAGCAATTTATAGTGCTTCTAAAACTGAACAGTACCTTTTAAAGTATAGCACGATAGGCAATCGGCTTCTGTTTTCAGAATTAGCAAACACTGAATTTACTTGTCCCGAAAATTCAAACTGGTGGCTCCTTCTCGCTGATGGTAATTTATTTTTGAAATTCCAAAACAATTTCACAGCTGAATTTTGAGCGACTTTTAGTTTCGGACTTCTGCTCCAACGATTTTTCTGAAATTCCTCTGGCATATTTATTATATCAATTAAAGCCGATACCAGAAATTTCAGTAAAAAATATCAGCAAAATTTTTTACTAGACGCGATTTTCTTTGAACAGTAGGGTCCTTTTAAGCGCTTATTTCTCGAGAAATATTTACCATCAGTGAACTCGGAATATTTCGAATCATTGCCTAATGATATCTGTTGTTCTTTGCAAAGTTTGGCAGCCATCGCGTTAAAAACCAAAAAGTTATGACGGAAAATTTGTCACAGCTAAATGCTCTTGTATTAATTACGGAGCCACCTTAAAAGCTACTAAAAGCTACTCTAGGATAGGGGAATTCGGAAGTTTAGTCTAGTATAGGGTAGCAAAATTCAGCTGAACTAGCTCTGGTATAGGTTACAGGTTCCAGGGTCCCAGCGACACATAACCAGCCAAAAATTCCTAAAGTGCCCCCCTCTGGGTTAGAATAGTGCCCATATCAATATTACATTTGTCTACCGTGCCCAATCTCCCAGTGCTTTTTAAATCAAAGATGGTAGCTATTAACAATGTACTGAGAGTCTGTTTGGCTAAAATATTTAAGTGTGTGTCCTGCAGACTGCTTCATTGGGATACCACATCTGATAAGATGGTCAACCCCTCTAACCCCAAGAGAACCGTGCCCTAGCTAGGTGCATGCAGCTTTAAAACAGAATTAGAGAATCTGATCTGACCTATGCGTAATAATGATTTTACAGTGAAACCTGTATTAAGTGGACACCCTCAGGGAATGCTGTAGTGTCCGCTTAATACAGGGTGTCTGCCTAATACAGGTTTCGATAGATAATGTCACATGAGGTGTCAAATGCCATTCAAACGAACAGTCTCAGAAACGTTTAGAATACTCCCAGAGTCTATGACGATATACGTTCAAGGCATTAATTTCGTTATTGAAATGGACCAGTTGATCATAATACCATAAACATAGATTGCAACTCAAATTTGAAGAAATCAGATAAGTAAAAAAAGCTCTAAACAAAACAAAATAGAAAACAATACTGTACTGTGAAACTAATAACGGACACTTGTAATTAAATTCCACCACCCAACATGCCATACACCGGAAATGCGAAAGCACAAAATCTTTCGCATTTCCGGTGTCTGGCATGTTGGGTGGTGGAATTTAATTACAAGTGTTCATTATTAGTTTCACAGTACAGAGTTATTTTTTATTTCGTTTTGTTTGTATAGAGCTTTTTTTACTCATCTGATTTCTTCAAATTTGAGTTGCAATCTATGTTTATGGTACTATGATCAACTGGTCCATTTTAATAAAGAAATTAATGCCTTGAACGTATATTGCCATAGTCTCTGGGAGTATTCTAAATGTTTCCACTGTTCATTTGAGTGGCATTTGACACCTCATGTGACATTATCTATTGAAACCTGTATTAGGCGGACACCCTGTATTAAGCGGACACTACAGCATTCCCCGAGGGTGTCCGCTTAACACAGGTTTCACTGTAAAATCATTATTATGCATAGGTCAGATTAGATTCTCTTCTGTTTAAGGCTGCATGCACCTAGCTAGGGCACGGTTCTCTTGGGGTTAGAGGGGTTGACCATCTTATCAGACGTGGTATCCCAATGAAGCAGTCTGTAAGGCACACACTCAAATATTTTAGCCAAACAGACTCTCAGTACATTTGTTAATAGCTACCATCTTTGATTTAAAAAACACTGGGAGATTGGGCACAGTAGACAAATGTAATATTGATACGGGCACTATTCTAACCCGGAGGGGGGCACTTTAGGAATTTTTGGCTGGTTATGTGTCGCTGGGACCCTGGAACCTGTAACCTATACCAGAGCTAGTTCAGCTGAATTTTGCTACCCTATACTAGACTAAACTTCCGAATTCCCCTATCCTAGAGTAGCTTTTAGTAGCTTTTAAGGTGGCTCCGTAATTAATACAAGAGCATTTAGCTGTGACAAATTTTCCGTCATAACTTTTTGGTTATTAACGCGATGGCTGCCAAACTTTGCAAAGAACAACAGATATCATTAGGCAATGATTCGAAATATTCCGAGTTCACTGATGGTAAATATTTCTCGAGAAATTAGCGCTTAAAAGGACCCTACTGTTCAAAGAAAATCGCGTCTAGTAAAAAATTTTGCTGATATTTTTTACTGAAATTTCTGGTATCGGCTTTAATTGATATAATAAATATGCCAGAGGAATTTCAGAAAAATCGTTGGAGCAGAAGTCCGAAACTAAAAGTCGCTCAAAATTCAGCTGTGAAATTGTTTTGGAATTTCAAAAATAAATTACCATCAGCGAGAAGGAGCCACCAGTTTGAATTTTCGGGACAAGTAAATTCAGTGTTTGCTAATTCTGAAAACAGAAGCCGATTGCCTATCGTGCTATACTTTAAAAGGTACTGTTCAGTTTTAGAAGCACTATAAATTGCTCCAAACCTTGCTCTGAGGTAGAATTACTTGTTCTTATTCGACATTTTTAAAATATCCCATGGCAGTTTTGGTTCAAACTCCTGCTGCAATTTATAGTGCTTCTAAAACTGAACAGTACCTTTTAAAGAATAGCACGATAGGCAATCGGCTTCTGTTTTCAGAATTAGCAAACACTGAATTTACTTGTCCCGAAAATTCAAACTGGTGGCTCCTTCTCGCTGATGGTAATTTATTTTTGAAATTCCAAAACAATTTCACAGCTGAATTTTGAGCGACTTTTAGTTTCGGACTTCTGCTCCAACGATTTTTCTGAAATTCCTCTGGCATATTTATTATATCAATTAAAGCCGATACCAGAAATTTCAGTAAAAAATATCAGCAAAATTTTTTACTAGACGCGATTTTCTTTGAACAGTAGGGTCCTTTTAAGCGCTTATTTCTCGAGAAATATTTACCATCAGTGAACTCGGAATATTTCGAATCATTGCCTAATGATATCTGTTGTTCTTTGCAAAGTTTCGCAGCCATCGCGTTAATAACCAAAAAGTTATGACGGAAAATTTGTCACAGCTAAATGCTCTTGTATTAATTACGGAGCCACCTTAAAAGCTACTAAAAGCTACTCTAGGATAGGGGAATTCGGAAGTTTAGTCTAGTATAGGGTAGCAAAATTCAGCTGAACTAGCTCTGGTATAGGTTACAGGTTCCAGGGTCCCAGCGACACATAACCAGCCAAAAATTCCTAAAGTGCCCCCCTCCGGGTTAGAATAGTGCCCGTATCAATATTACATTTGTCTACTGTGCCCAATCTCCCAGTGTTTTTTAAATCAAAGATGGTAGCTATTAACAAATGTACTGAGAGTCTGTTTGGCTAAAATATTTGAGTGTGTGCCTTACAGACTGCTTCATTGGGATACCACGTCTGATAAGATGGTCAACCCCTCTAACCCCAAGAGAACCGTGCCCTAGCTAGGTGCATGCAGCCTTAAACAGAAGAGAATCTAATCTGACCTATGCATAATAATGATTTTACAGTGAAACCTGTGTTAAGCGGACACCCTCGGGGAATGCTGTAGTGTCCGCTTAATACAGGGTGTCCGCCTAATACAGGTTTCAATAGATAATGTCACATGAGGTGTCAAATGCCACTCAAATGAACAGTGGAAACATTTAGAATACTCCCAGAGACTATGGCAATATACGTTCAAGGCATTAATTTCTTTATTAAAATGGACCAGTTGATCATAGTACCATAAACATAGATTGCAACTCAAATTTGAAGAAATCAGATGAGTAAAAAAAGCTCTATACAAACAAAACGAAATAAAAAATAACTCTGTACTGTGAAACTAATAATGAACACTTGTAATTAAATTCCACCACCCAACATGCCAGACACCGGAAATGTGAAAGATTGCCACAAATTTTTCGATTTTTACATTAAAAAAGTGACTTGAAAAATCATAAATCGAAAAATTTGTGGCAATCTTTTGCATTTCCGGTGTCTGGCATGTTGGGTGGTGGAATTTAATATTATTACAAGTGTCCGTTTAATACAGGTTGTCAACAATAGTTGATTAGAAATGACCATTTCTGGTACTTTTTAGGTGTCTGCATCCGCTTAATAGAGGTGTATGCTTAATAAAGGTTTCATTTAAAGTGAATAAGGGAAATAAATTTGGGGACTTCGGCTACTGTCCGCTTAATAGAGGGTGTCCACTTAATACAGGTTTCACTGTATTAAGAAGTCAGGTTATTTGCCGGATGCTGGAGCCCTCATTCAGGAACTTACGACAAAAGCAGCATTGGTAAATTGGTACATTAATTACCTTAAATAATTTTTCAAGTACTACCTCGACCATCTTATACTGCTTGGAATAATCAGCAAGCTTTAGAATACTCTCTGCAGCAACGACTTGTTGAGCACGTTTTTCTTTAAAAACTGCACGATCTGCGAGCGAAGATAGTCAAGGAAACTTGAACAAGTTTCAACTGCACTGTGTCTAAAAGAAGTCCTAATCAGTAAGAACATTATTAGTTAAAAAGCTTATTAAGCTTGCACAAAAGGATACAAACCAGCATCTTCGTGTCTTTGATCGTGGAATTATTTTCTCCAGAAGAGTCTATCTTGTTCTCATATGTTGGAGTTTCAGCCAGAACAGAAGCCACAGCATAAATAACGAAAAACAGACAATCGAGTGGCGAGTGTTTCATCTTTTTACCCTTCCTGAAATTCTACATACAAGTACATGTAACAAAAGACGAAAGATAGCCTTTTTCCAGGCTTTCCACATGGCCTAGCCTCAACTCCATGTTCATAGAATTTTCCCCACCCTACACCCATTGACTTTTTTTTCAACCGCTGACCTGTTTGTAGCGGGCACTCGTGATCGCGTGATCGCGTGATCGAACGTAAAGTCTTCGTTAGAATTTGTGCTTACGAATGAAATTTTGTGTAATAGTCGTTTTGTTTTCATTGTGCATTGAGGGCAGTTTTCCTTTTGGAGCCGAATATTGTACCCGTAAGCGGTAAGTAATGTTTGAAATCTTCGATAAAGTAATCTCTCTCTCTCTCTGTCTCTTCCTCTCTAACTGCTTACAGATAACTACACGTCGCACGAGACTTCCTTCTGTAGTCTTCTGTAGTACTTCGCACGTCAAACGAAAGTGAGCTTTTTGCATTGTGGGCCGTAGTTACGCCCAAATTTTCAAGTTATTCGCCTCATTAAGAGTAAGGAAACTTAGCATTACATTTTGGTAGCATCAAGGCATATAAAAAGGGGAGAGTTACTTCTGGTTCACGTGCGTCGCTCAAAAGTTCAAGCTCCCTTATGGCTTGTCAAAAACGTTGCATGTACCCCTTTCCCCTTTCCTTCTTGGCCTTCCCCAATTTTTCCTTTCCCACCGCTATACGATGACTTTTCCCAAACTATGGCTTCTTTTTAAATGACCAACATGCAGCCCTTCAGCTTCTGTCCGCCTTTTGATTTGTAAAGTTTTCTATTAACCGATCAGTTCCTCCCTTATCGATTTGTTCGTTCTGTATTCCGTCCACGAAATTCTTAGAATTTTCCCGTAGCATTTCATTTCAAATGTTTTATTCTTTTTAAAATTGTTATGTTTTCTCTCTTCATGCGCAGTTGTAAATAAATGTAATCTGAACGGTGCCTTGATTAAGACTGAAGAGGAAACAGAGGAAGGAAATTGAAAAGGTAAGACAACTGTTTGTAGACTGCGAGCAGTCTCTTATTTTAGAGGCGTTTTTAATCCGATTTTATAATTAATCTCTACGTGTGCACTCACTCCGTCTTAGAATAACTCGATGGATCTAAGAGAAAAGGTGGACTGTAAGCAGTCTAAACTATTGTTTTTGGCTATTTGAAAGATGACTTTACAAGTATCAGTGAAGTTGAAGGGTGATCTTATATACTTGGTTCTAGTGTCACCCGAGTTACGAGAGCATTCTTTTGGTTGTCAGGTAACACTCCCTGTCAAGATGTACCTCATGACAGCCCCATCCCTTAAAGGAACTTTGTCATGCCATCTGCTATCTTTTTAAAAAGCTAAAATGTTTCTTGCATCTATTGAAGTCCAAAAATTATTCAGGGTCATATTTAGGCATTGAAACTGTTTCCAGTCTTCTGTTGCCAAGGATGGCAAGGATGGACATGTGACTGAAGGTCGTGACCAAAAGAGAAAATATTATATTCGCTATAATAGTGCTCTTTGATGAAATTGTTTGATAGCTTCCTTAACTCTAACTTAACTCTACAGGAAGATTTTTTATATTGGTAGAGGCATTGCCATGAAATTAATGACTTCGGCATAGAATTGACCTAAAACAGCAATATCATCATGCCAGCACTTGCTTCCATCTAATCGTATGATTCTAAATGCCCCCTCCCCTCCCCTCCCCATTTTTTTTTCTTTCGAAATGAAGGCTTGTCTCTAATCAATGAATGCCAAGCAAAACAAGAAAAATGAATGGAGGATGAAAAACGAAAGAAGAGGGTGGGGGAAAAAGTTGAACTGCTGTGTCACTGAACCCCTTTAGCACACTCTTGACGAAGGGGTTAGGGGGTAAAGTAGGGGCTAGCGTTTTCATTCTTTGTAGCCCAAGAACAGTACCCAGTACACAGAAAACTGCCTAACTAGCAGTTTGATTTTTCGCCAAATTTTCCTGGAGCAACTTGGTCAAACCAAGACCCAGTCAGTTTTCACGAAGATCTACTTTTGAGTGTAAAGCAACCAAATCTGGCCCTAAAATGCCGAATTGGCTGAAAAAATCGGCAAAAGACAAATTATAGTATTTCTGATTTAAAGATGCCCACTAACCACCTTTTCAGAAGTCATCAATCAAGAGACCCTCTCTTGGAATGATTGATAGTAGATAATAGGCACTAAACTTTCTTTTTTCCTTACCATTGAGTGGCCTAAAGCAGGGTTCTCAATAGATTTTTAAGTAGGAGGTGATCACTGATAAAGTAGGAGGCTCTTCAGCAAAGCCAGAGGTGTCAAAACAAAGCAAAGAAAAGCGACTTAAACACAAAGTAAGCGGCTATAAATCACAAAGTAAGCGGCGATCAATCGCCGGGTGCCGCCTTCTATTGAGAACCCTGCTAAAGGAAAATTAAAGATACTTAATTGTAAATATTGTTTGTGGTTTGGGTTCATTTCAGACTGATCTTTTAATAACTTAATAGGACTGTATGTATCATGCGATCTTTGTAATGCATTAATCAAATTCCCCCTCCCCCCCCCCAAAAAAGGTCCAGGTTTGTTATTTAGGTCGGCTTATATCTAGAGATTAAACCTGTCTCCTGTTGTCTGTTGCAACAGAGCGCAAGGATGGACCTTGACTGAAACTTGAAAAACTTGGGCCAAATTTTTCAAGTTTTAATGCTATGCCTGCAAAATTAAATCACCAAAATCATTATAATTACTTCTTCCTGATGAAATTTATTTGATATCTTTTTCGTAACTCTACTGGACCTTTTTTATGTATTGAGTGAAGGCACTAAGTTAAATGACTTCAGCACAGAATTAACTTCAAACAACAGCCCATAACTCTGAGCGAGCAACTCCCATACTAGGCCTTATTGTCATGGCGTTTTTACAGACCAGTTTATTTTTAGAAACATTTTAGAGCACATTTTCCCTCGAAAATAGAATCTCCACCATGCATGTCTATGAGCGCATTCGACGTATAAGATATCAAAAAGGAAAGCTTAACGTTATTAAAAGGCAACAAAATATTATTTTTAGGTCTGTAGGTTTTGCTGACTGGTTTGTGGACTTTAAAAGATATTAAAAATTTGCGTCAAAACCGTTCTAAAAATAAACTGGCCCATGAAAACGCCGTGGCACGAGTGCATGGAAGTTGCTCGCTCCGGGTTATGGGCTCCTGCTTAAAATATCATTATCCTCGTGAAGTAGCCTCTGAAGATGAAGATTTAAAATATTTAGAACCTGACTTTGTTGTATTAGAAAATGTCTTTCCATACTAAGAGCAAAAGTTGGAAACTGCATTAGCAGACCTGCCATAGCCGTCAGGCCTCGGGTGCGATCGTGAAAAAGGGTCTCTTCAGTCGACCTGTTTTGCATACTACACTGCCGGATTACATTTTGCCCCTGGCTCAAATCCTCGTCAGAGTCTCTCAGTTTTAAAATGCGTGGTTCCGCAACGACGTTTGCATTAAAGTCGATCGGAGCAACACGTGTTGTGGTCAGCTGTGCACTTTCCACGGTATTTCAAAATTCTTTATCACATACGTGTTATTATTTACGCTATCTGAACACTTGTGTATTTTTTCTCTAGGTTATTCTAGTTAAATAAAAGTATTACCGAAATTCCCTTTATCCCTGTAATATACACGAAGTGTCAGGCAATGAACATTTAATTCATTTGGTAAATTCTTTGTATTAAATTTTTTTAAAACAGGTTTCAACACTGTTACCCTCCTTCTGTTACCAAATGGCCTCTAAAGTGTATTCGGAAGAACAGCTTAACTACTTCCGGGTTTGTCACATAGCCACTGACATACTACCCCCAGCTTTACGATTACTGTTCAAGCAGGAATGGGACAATCAGCACAAGACAACACTTGGCGAATGGAACGACACGCCTCAAAATGGCCTGGACTTTAAAAACGGTGAGTCTGCAGATAATCAATCAAGAAATGCCGAACAGTTACTCACAATGGTAAATGGAAACAGGGCGCAGTGGGATTGTACTATGCTATTTTATGCCATCCTGCATTCTGATTCTATCAGACCTGGACTGAGTAAACTGATCAGAAAAAACGTTCATAAACTCAGAGAGTTTCGAAATAAATTCTACGCTCACAGGACAGAAGGTCAGTTCTCAAATGCAGACTTCAAAACCACCGTGGCAAAAGTGGAGAAAGCATTTCGAGCTCTTGGCCTATCTACTGTTGAAATCCAAACAGTAAGTAAGCAGAAAAGTTTTCCAACCGATGAGTTGCAAAATGTGAAGACAAGTAATCAGAAACTTACTCAAGACCTTGAGACGAAAGAGGCGGAACTTCAAGAGAACAAAGACAGGCTAAAAACTTCTGAAGAACAAAGCAAGGTGTTTGAAGAGCAACTACAGCGCGAAGTAGAGCCATTTTGCGTCCTTCCACCCAAACCTCCCCATGTGATCGCAAATCGCGATTTCCACGTTGAGAACGTAACACAGAAGCTGTTAAACTTAAGGAAGGCTAACGAGAACACTTTAAGTTATTGTTATATTTCAGGCAATCCTGGGAGTGGCAAATCCCAGCTGGCTGGACTAGTTGGTGAGAAATACTACAAAGAAGCCAGCAAAGACACAAATGCTCCGTCATTTGTAATGACCTTAAGTGCTGAAAACCCAGAAGCGCTTTTAACATCATACCTGTCACTGGCAAGAAAAATGCACTGCCCCGAGTTTACTATGAATACCACCGAAAACTCCAAGGATCTAAATGATGAACGGAAAATAGCCATTATCAAAGATTTAATTGCGACAAAAATTCACCTTTACTCATCTTGGCTCTTAGTGATTGACAATGTCACAAATCTTCCTTGGATAGGTCAGTTTCTTCCTGAGCGTGGAAATGAGCAGTGGGGCAAAGGCCAGCTGCTAATCACAACGCAAGATTGTACCTGTATGCCTCCAGATAGTTCCTTCACATCCCACATCTCCATAAGCAAAGGCATGGAGCCTGCTGATGCTATTTGCCTTCTAACCGAGCTCTCTGGAATCACTGACAATGACATGGAAAAAAACGTAGCCCACGCATTGGATTACCAGCCACTTGCACTAGCCAGCGCAGGAGTGTACGTGAGAAAGGTGCGAAATACCAATCCAAACTTCGGCTGGGAGGGGTACTTAGAAAAAGTAGAGAAAGGCAAACGTGAACTCACTGAAACGGAACTTGTCAATGTAAACAATATCTACCCAAACTCTATGACTTTAGCGACCAAGATAGCTCTTGAAACGGTAATGGCTTCTGATGAAATAATGAAGCACGCTTTTACTTTTCTTGCATTTTGTGCACCAGAGCCATTGAGGTTAGACGTGTTAACCACTTACGTTGTAAGTGCTGATGAAGAATTGGATGAAGAGCAAATAGGCATTCAGATTCAAGGGTCCTCTTTGTTGCTAATCGAAAAAGAGGATGATGTCAACATTCGTTTACACAAGGTGGTACACGATATTGTCAAGCGTTTAGTTAAAGACCAAATGGAGGCTAATGAACGTGCCCGCGTTGCTTGTGTCGCAATAGGGTCATGCAGTCAGTATATTCATAAAGCAATACCAGAGACCCTGCAAAGTCAGGATTCCGTCGTTGGAAGCAAACACATTGTTCCACACTTAAAAACTCTAGCTGTAGGAATTACAAACATTATCTCTACTGAAGAGAAATTCGGTCTCATCAAAAACACTATTCTAAATATATACAATTATATATATAACTTTGAGACGCTTGCTAAAGTTTGCTGGTTACATAGCGAATACGTGTCAGCAATGAATTTTTCCAGTGTAGCTTTAAAACTCATTGAAGACAACACGATAAGGACAGGGCCTGACCATGTTGAGCGGTTCGTGCGTATATACCATATGATGGGTCTCGTGCATTGGCACTTGGGTGACTATCAACAGGCCAAGGAGTATTATGAACGTACCCTGTCAATACAACTGAATATGCTCGGACCCGACCATGTTGACGTCGCGTATACGTACTATAACATGGGTATCCTACATAGGGTCTTGGGTGACCATCATCAGGCCAAGGAGTATTATGAACGTGCCTTGTCCATACGATTGAATAAGCTTGGATCCGATCATGTTGACGTCGCGCGTACGTACTATAACATGGGTATCCTACATAGGGTCTTGGGTGACCATCATCAGGCCAAGGAGTATTATGAACGTGCCTTGTCCATACAATTGAATAAGCTTGGATCCGACCATGTTGACGTCGCGTCTACGTACCTTGGCATGGGTATCGTACATAGCGACTTGGGTGACCATCATCGGGCCAAGGAGTATTATGAACGTGCCTTGTCCATACAACTGAATAAGCTTGGACCCGACCATGTTGACGTCGCGCGTACGTACCATAACATGGGTCTCCTACATAGCGACTTGGGTGACCATCATCGGGCCAAGGAGTATTATGAACGTGCCTTGTCCATGCAACTGAATAAGCTTGGATCCGACCATGTTTACGTCGCGCGTACGTATAATAACATGGGTATCGTACATAGCGACTTGGGTGACCATCATCGGGCCAAGGAGTATTATGAACGTGCCTTGTCCATACAACTGAATAAGCTTGGACCCGACCATGTTGACGTCGCGCATACGTACCATAACATGGGTATCCTACATAGCGACTTGGGTGACCATCATCAGGCCAAGGAGTATTATGAACGTGCCTTGTCCATACGATTGAATAAGCTTGGATCCGACCATGTTTACGTCGCGCGTACGTACCATAACATGGGTATCCTACATAGGGACTTGGGTGACCATCATCAGGCCAAGGAGTATTATGAACGTGCCTTGTCCATACGATTGAATAAGCTTGGATCCGACCATGTTGACGTCGCGCGTACGTACCATAACATGGGTATCCTACATAAGCACTTGGGTGACCATCATCGGGCCAAGGAGTATTATGAACGTGCCTTGTCCATACAATTGAATAAGCTTGGATCCGACCATGTTGACGTCGCGCGTACGTACCATAACATGGGTATCCTACATAGGGACTTGGGTGACCATCATCAGGCCAAGGAGTATTATGAACGTGCCTTGTCCATACGATTGAATAAGCTTGGATCCGACCATGTTGACGTCGCGCGTACGTACCATAACATGGGTATCCTACATAGGGACTTGGGTGATCATCATCAGGCCAAGGAGTATTATGAACGTGCCTTGTCCATACGATTGGATAAGCTTGGATCCGACCATGCTGACGTTACGGAATTGTCCCGTTTGTTAGCTGATGTGCAGCGTGTTTTGGATTCCCAGCAGGAGGCGCCTGATCATCATGACCGTACGCAGTTGAATCAGCCGCAAAAGCGTGGACCGGATCAAACTGATTTCGAATTTCCTAAGTGCAAGAGGCGTCGCTAAGATGACTCTTCACTCTTCTTAAAATAATGTTATTGATAACCTGTTGCGTCGTTTTTACATTAAACGAAACAAATAACTGCACGCGATATTTACACGGGTTAGTCACAAGCACTTGTCACAAGTCACTTGTCATAAACACATATATATATTAATATATCAATTTTAAGCCTACTTTTGGTATGGAGTTATACAGAGAACGGTTTTGATTAACATAGATGAGCGATTTTTGAGTAATTCCGTGGATTTAGCCCGTGGAATTTCGGTTTTGTGAAGGTTAGACATGTTTAATTTGACGACGCCAAAGTCCTCTTTCATTTCTTTAAAAGTTTGTACTAATAAAAAGTGTTGTTTTACTTTCAAATTTTCATTAATAATTTATGAACTAAACAACCTAGGACGCGTCCTCTAAAATCCGTCACGAGCTCGTGTTTTAAACCCCGGTAAGGGCCTGTTTACATGGAGGTGAGGGACCCCAGGTAGGTGAGATAACTCGCTTAGGTGGGGTAACCCGCCTGTCCATATAATCTCTCATTTTAATTTGATCACGTTTACATGATACGTGGGGTGACCCGCCATGGCGGGTAGCCCGGTCTACCAGACCGGGTTACCCTCTCAGCCGGGGTCAAATTTTGCCATGTAAACGTTTCAAGGTGGGGTAACCCGCCTGGCCGGGGTCGGATTCGTGATACATCAAATTCTTGCAAATTTCACTTTGGCGGTGGCTTTGCATCATTATTTAAGTTAACAATAGAAAGCCATTGTACTGAAGGTTGCAGCAAGAGCAACAAGGGAGTGTAGAAGTGCATTAATCGCCAAAACACGTGGTTTGCCAGCATTTTTCTTGTTTACGTGCTTAGCGACCATTCAATAATCTTGAGAAAGTGCACCCCGGGATGGTGGGGTTGTAAGATTGCATATAAAGGAGGGTTATTTTTTTACCCTACATAAGCAGGTTACCTCACCTACCTGGGGTCCCCCACCTCCATGTAAACAGGCGCTAAAACACTGTCAAACTAAAAAGCCTGCGAGCGGCATTTGATTTCAGTCTCGAGGGAGTGCAGGGCTGATTGTATTTTGCTTCACTGATATTCTTTATTCAAAAATTTCATCCTCATTAGTATTCTTTATATAAAAAATACTAATAAGGATGACATTATATTTTATTGCACGTGACCTATGAATATTAATTATCAGCACAGCAACTTACACAACAAATGGTGGGTGAATATTTAATGTTCTTTGAAAATAACACACTCAGTAAATTTACTATTGCAAAGAAAAAAAACTTTGTTCTTTCACCAATTTAATCAGCCAAAAGTTCAGTGACACAGCGGGAGTATTGGCTATAGCAGTGTCCAAGCGTTGCACTCAAGACTTGCCAGCTGTGAATACGCAAGGCTCGAGTACTGGACTTTTGTTTACCTACCATTCGGTCATTCCAGAAAACTTTTTCTAAAGAACACTTTTTCAGTGGAATAGTTGACTTTGGGGTACCATTTTCAATTAACCTCCTCTCCTCCTCGGCATAATACGTTATGTCCTCTTCGGTTAGTGTCGTTCTTAGGGCCTGTTTACATGGAGTGGGGACCCCGGTCTAGTGGGGTTGGTTTCTTTTGTTTTCACGCTCTGGGGGACACAAAACAAAAGAAACCTACCCCACTAGACCGGGGTCCCCCACTCCATGTAAACAGGGTCTTAGACTGAAAAATTTCTAATCACTTGTGAGATTTGATTTTCTTGCATAATAATTTCATACGTAATGTTTTTTTCGTATGCTAATTTACAACGTTCACAAAAGCGTCATTGTTATCAACTCCATTGAGACACGCTTATCCAGGAATATTTTTGAAGCCGTTCAAAAAACTCGGCAAGTTGGCAAGTCTTGAGTGCAACGCTTGGACACTGCTATAGCCAATACTCCCACTGTGTCACTGACTTTTGACTGATTAAATTGGTGAAAGAACAAAGTTTAAATTTTTGCAATAGTAAATTTACTGCGTGTGTTATTTTGAAATTGTACATAAATAGTTTGTGTTGTACCATACCGGCTATTACCTAATAAACTATAGCTAACTTTGCGTAAAACTATGTTAACTTTCAAATAAAGAAATAGACCTTTTTACCGATACAGCGGCCATATTGAATTAATTCGATTTAAGGAGTATTATAGGATGCCCATTGGGCATGAGCGCATTTCGTTTGTATTTTCAAGCGCTTTTCGGGACATATTTTCGTAAAGTTTTCTTAGAATGAGCTTGTGGGGGAAAAAAGACCCTTGTGCCGTGTTTGGATGTAATAATGATCGTCTTTTTCTAGTTTAGTATTAGAAATATGGTCTTTCACTGTATATTTCTCGGGAAAAGGGAGATCATTATATACATCAAAACACGGCACAAAACGAGAAAGAGTCGAGGAATTGTGATAACCAAGATAAAAACGTTGGAAGGAGGAGAGAGTAGCTGGTAAAGAAGGGGGGCAATCGAGGAATTTTCCTTAAGGGAAGGGAGGAGAGGGTGGGTCCAACTTGTGTACAACCTTGATTCAAATAATTTCCCCTCTTCCTCGACACTTCATTAGTCTCTACTGCGTAGACCCTTGCTTAGATGATACGCAAAGCCGATATGAGACGTTCTACTCGTGAAGGACACATCTCTGAAACTTTCGTCTGTTGTGTCTAGTGATAAAGTAATTTTGTCCGATATGTTGAGAGTGGTTCGGGTCCCTCCGACCCTACCCCTGAAGAGTTATTGAAATGAGACAAAGCAGGAGACATGGAATTTAAAGATTGAATGGAGAGAAAGAATATTGAGCTTGTAGGAGAGAAGCTTAGAATTTGTACGTGGAGGTCTGGAGATACGGTGATTATACGGATAGCTTGCGTAGCTGGCGGGATAGTTACGCGTGGGGCTCTTTCTTGGCGGAAGAGCCGCGAGGGAAAATTTCAATTTGAGTTATTCCCAAACTTCTTGCGGCTCCGGCGCTCGGCCGCCATAAAACAGCAACACTCCCCCGCCAATCCCGCCACCTGCGCAGGCTATGACACGGATTACACCAGATTGCAGTAGTTGACATATGGTAAGAGAGAATTATATAAGTTTTTAGGGTATCCGAAGGTAGAGATCGCCTTCATTTACAGAAGCTATAGGAGAGTTATTTATTAAGATGTTTATCCTGATGGGATAATCTGTTTGCGCTGTGGATAAAAAAATTAATAAGAGTAAGTAGACTTTTTAGGGTGGACAGTAAGTTTATTTGCATTAAACCAAGAGAAAACAAGAAAGAGCTCTTGATTAATATTTGCTTCAGTAACCACGTCTTAATGACGTACAAACATATTAGTATCATACGCAAAGAAGATTAATGAGAGGTGACTTGAAGAGTGAAAAGGATCAATGATATACTAGAGGAAAAGGAGAGGGCCAAAGAAGAGAGCCTTGAGGAACCCACGCACAACATTGTTAAATAAAGAGACGATGATGAGCCATATCATACCGTTCTCTGTGAGCTACATAACTGGTAAGCCAAATTAACAAAATACCGCGGATACAATAGGAATTCATTTTATCAATTACACTGGAATCCCTAGTCAGGGGACACCCTCGGGACCAAGGAAAGTGTCCCCTGAATGGAGGTTGGGCTGGGGTTTGTTAATTATTAACCAACAAATAAAATATTTTTTACTAGGGCTGGAAAAGGTGTCTGCTCTCGCAGGCTAACTACGAAATCTAGCAGCAGTCATTATTTCAAGCAGGTAGATTATGGATAAAAGATCATTAATAACTTCTGTGCAATGTTGTGTGTTGAATTCCCACAAGTGCAGTACATCGATTTAAGTGAGTTAATTCATTTTTGAAAGCTGTCGTCATTGTGACTAATGAACACTTAAACTTAATCACTTTTTAATTGCTAAGGTGCCCCCTGATTGGAAATTAAACCCAGTTTTTGTGGCCCAGAAGAAGTGTCCCTTCCCCTGAATAGAGGTGTCCGTTCAATAGAGGTAGCAAATACAAAGATTACCGGGTATGTGAACATTTCTCCAGGACCAAATATTGTCCCCTGAATGGAGGTGTCTCAAAGGAGGGGTTCCACTATAGTATCTAATTTAAGATAGTCTAAGCCTACTCATTATTATTTTCAACAGAAGTGCTTAGCTTTACATTCAACAAATGCACTTTTAATGTGCCTGAGGGCGCGCGTGCGCGTGAATGAAGCCCCTGCAATAAAAAAGGAAATAATTAGAATGGGTGAAGGTGGTCACACATAACCTGTGACCAGGCGTGTCTTGGGACGTCGCCGCTGGCTCAATAAATATGTACGTTACGGTAATCCAACCAAAAGCAAACGCCTGTAGAACAGGCATTACTTTTCAGATACGTTTGTCAGGCGAGCGTGAGTCATGACCCGAACGTGGATCTTGATTCACGCCCTTAAGAAGGGGCAAGAAACACTATTAAGTGCTTCTTATATAGCGGGCGACGCGTCCACGCTTTCCTCCTGGTTCGCAATTCTAAACGCCGTGCACACTTGCCACTGTTTGCTGAACTAATCGTCATTTTTGCTACCTTGTGTTTTCGCGCAGTGTACCAGGAGTTTGGACTGAGATTGCTCTAACATTCTGCTGTTAAGGTGGATTTCCACTGTCGAGTAATTTTTACGTGTGTATGGACGTATAATTTACTTGCGAAAATGAAATAAAGACGTTGTATGAAAGTTCACCCGTAAACGTTAATATTAAACCTCCTTAAATTTTTCGTTTATACGCTACACTACAACATGCTGGGTATTAGTTCAACTACTATTTAACGCTTCTTAGACAGCGGGAGACGCGTCCAGGCTTCCCTCCTGATGCGCGATTCTAAACGCCGTGCACACTCGCCATTGTTTGCTGAACTAATCGTAAACTTTGGTACCTTGTATTTTCGCGCAGTGTACCAGGAGTTCGGACTGAGGTTGTTCTAACATTGTGCTGTTAAGGTGGATTCCCTCTATCGAGTAATTTTTACCTGCGCTTAGACGTACAATTTACTTTCGAAAATAAAATAAAGGCGTCGTATGAAAGGTCACCCGTAAACGTTAATATTGAACCTCCCTCAATTTTTTCGTTTATGCGCTACACTACAACATGCTGGGTATCAGTTCAAAACAGTCTAGTGAACCCTTATGCATGTGTACGTAGATCGAGTATACTATGTTCAACAGGAGTAGTTTTAATTGTTTTCTTGAGTCCACATATATCCTGCTTGTTTCACCTCCTTTTGTCTTGTTTGTTTCCAGCCGGTGGCCTTTGAAGTTGAAACTTTGGTTGTGCAGTAAACGCTGAAGTCCCGGTGCCAAAACCGGTCCCCTCAAGTCCTGTCCCGGTGGAGCCAAAAGCTTCTCCTGTGGAGGACCCAAGACAGGGGTACCAAATCCTCCCGTAAGACTCGGGGTCCCAAATCCAGTGGTCGCTCTGAGACCCGTGGCTCCTAAAGTGTTGGTCCCGAGAGGTGTTCCAAATGTGGAGCCTGATGTTAGACTGGTACTACCGAGTCCTGTGGTGGTGCCAAATGGATTTCCCAGAGACGCTGTTCCTGCTGTCCCCAAAGAACCTGTTAAACCAGCAGGGTTTGTCTGAAAACTGCCAATCCCTAGGGTAACAAAAATGTACCAAAATTGTTATCAAGTCGGCTTTATCACTTACAAGTGATTCAACAAGATTTCTATAGTTCTCGGCGCGATAAACAGCCTTTGCTAAGTTATGATGTAGATGTACAATGGAGTTAAAAAAACGTTGGGGAACTGCAAAGCAATATTTAGTAAACTGGCGACTTCCCCACTCCCACCCCGCAATTTGTGTAAAATGGGTGGAAATCACCTTCGAACTCTTCTTGGCGTTGTAGCCATTTGTCCCAGTACACTGGGTTTTAATGTTCAAACTTGGTGCCTTTTGCGAAATTCTTAAAGCTCATTGGCTGAGCAGAGAGCAGTAATGGGTCATAAAATCTACGGATCAATTTACGTTTCTGAGAAACTGCCCACCTACCCCTCCCCTAAGCCATCATTTTGCCCTAACTGAGAAGTAAGTGTTAATGTTAGCTTAGGGGAGGGGTAGGTCGGCAGTTTCCCAGAAACCTAAATTAATCAAAATCTACCATGGAGGGCAAAAGAACTTTGGACGCGGTGGAAAAACCCTTTCAGGCAATTACAGGTAAAAAGCAATCATGATATTGCCATTATTGTTACAACATGCTGTAAGCCGCTTTCAATAGACAACACGCGCAAGAAGTATCCAGTAAATTCAATACCTGATACATTTGTGGCGGTTGACGAAGCAGACGCTGAATTATTGGATAATACACGAAAAGGATTTGGACCAAGGCTAAATTCTGCACCTAAGGAACAAAAAGGATAAGAGGAAACTAAAGCGCCAATCGTAGAAAAATTTAGAAGCGAGTCAGTGGCTTGAACAATAAAATTTAAAATCGCCTGAAGTGATTAAATGGACATTCTGATATCTGATATAGCCAAATATAAGCCACGTATGAAGTAAAATGAATTTCAAAGCAAGGATAAAATTAAACTTCAACATGGACAATATGCTCACTGGTCTTCGATAGGTCCTTTAAGACGCTTGAAAATACATCTGTGGTGTCCTTGAAATAAGCTCTTCTGTAGTTAAGATATTGTTCCTTTTGAACCTGGTGCAATAAAAATACTGTGTCAGATACTAATCATTTTCCAGCTTTAATCATCATCTTTACGTGAGGATGGAGAATAACTTTAGGCTCTCACTGCGCTTTTGATAAACAACCGAATTCTGAAGTTCAAAAGCCAACTAACGTTTGCGTTTTTCGCTGCCGTCATTCTCCCCCCACCCCCCTACACCTATTGACTCTTGAACCGCTGAGATTTCTTGCATTCACAAGATATGGAAGTTTCATGTCGTATGATCTCGTGATCGCGTGATCGGTGACGTAAAGTCTAAGTGCTTATTACGAATGACATTGTTAAATGTTCATTTTGGAGTTGAACACCGATTACATTGTCCAGCGAGAGCAAGTTTTCCTTCTGGAACCGAATATTGTACACGTAAGAAGTAAGTAATGTGTTAAGATGGAATCCATCGCGAAACTGAGTAATATTAATTTTCAGTGGATAAAAACCATGTACCTAGCCTGTTCCAGGCGTTCAGATAGTGGGGAGCGGTGCAAAGTAAAAGAGAGCGCGAAAAAGTAAAAGCGAGGGAGGAGGAGAGGTGAGAGAGGGAACGCCTGTTAGATTTGTTTTAAATAGACTCTTCCGCCCAGTCAGACCGCATCAGCTGTAGGTGGTCTTCACTTGTCAATCAAGACTGGTGTTACAGCCCGATGCATTTATTATTTTTCTTGCGAATAAATCGAAGTGTGTCAGATCAAAAATTAATTTATGTATACATAATCTTACTAAAAACCCAATGTAAGACTTTCAGACAATAGAAGGCGGGAGAAGTATTCATGTATTCCCGCACCTCTCTCCCCAGTCCCCCTCTACTTTTCATCGCTTTCTCTACTCCACACCGCTCTCCACTATCTGAACGCTTGGAACAGGCTACCTTGTACCAGAATAATTTAAAGCATATTGCTTTCTTTTTTACATTTTTCAAGGGCTAAAGATGTAATTAGTCATCTGTAATAACACCAAAGAAAATTTCTTATGGGAGTCCGAGAAAAAAGCTGTCAAATTTCACAAGATGTCATCTTACAAATGAAGTTTCAGAGTTTTACCTGTGTTTTTACAATTCTTGTGAAATTTGACACTCATTTTCTCGGACTCTCATAAGAAATTTTCTTTGGTGTTATTACAGATGACTAATTACATCTTAAGCCCTTGAAATATGTAAAAAAGAATGCAATATTCTTTCAATTATTCTGGTACAACGTTTTTGTCCACTGAAAATTAAAATTACTCAATTTTCTGGTGGATTCCATCTTTTATACTACTACATGAGAAATTTCTGCAATTTAATTTGCTTAGAGCAGTGGTATTTCAGCCTCATTTGAAATACCTATATGTGAAAATTACAATCCTTTGGTGCGTAGTAGTATAAACAAATAATAGCATGATTTGTACCTGATATTTGGCATAAATACCACTCGTGATATTTAAAAATTGTCTCAAATTTCACTCTCCTAAAGGCTCGTGAAATTACGTATAACAATTTCGTAATATCACTGGTGGTATTTATGCCAATGCAAATATCACTACAAATCATGCTATTACCTATATAAACTCTCTGATAAAGTTACCTCTCTGTCTAACTGCTTTTAAATATCTCATAACTACACGTCGCATTTTTGACCGCACACGAGAAACTTAACCACCGATACCAGCCACAATGGTCTTCCTTCCCCCAGTGGTCAGTACTCTTTTAACTTTGCACGTCAACCGGAAGTGGGCTTTTTGCATTCTGGGCCGTGGTTTTGCCCAAATTTTCAAGTAAGTCGTCTCGTTAAGAGTAAAAAAACTTAGTAATACAATTTTGGTAGCATAAGGGCATATAAAAAGGGAAGAGGCCATACTTCCGGTTGAGTCGCTCAAAAGCTCCCTAATGGCTTGTCAAAAACGTTGCATATGCCCCTTCGTATCCCATCTTTCCATTATCATTTGTCCCAAATAACTTTGTAACTTTATTTGATTTACCACAAAATACAAATAACGATAAAACAAGACAGTTACACAAAAGCAAATGAAAGTGGCGAGGAAGCCCAAAAGGAACCATGAGGCTTATAGACATTGGGCTCCCCCAGAGTAAAAATAAAGTTAACAGTAACAGTAAGGCCAGGATCGAAAGTAAAATACAATGAAGGTAAGTATAAATTAACTAATTACATAGACTGAGTTGACAAAATATAAAGTATGGTACATGTAACAATAAGTATAAAAATAATATCAGACATGTGAAGAATGATAACTATTTACTACAAGATTTATAACTAATGATTCATAAATAATTTTTCTTCAATTTCGTTTTGAATAAGTGGAGAGAATTAGATTCTTTAATATCATTTTCCATAGAGTAATAATAAGTAGGTCCTTGGAAACTGACAGAAAATTAACGAAGGTTTGTTCTCCAAAAAGGAAGGTGAAAGTCTTTCGCGTATCTGGTGGCATAGCTATGGACTTGTTTGTTTAAAGAAAAATAATTGTTGAACTTTGAAGGCAAAAGAGAATGGTTAAGAGAAAGCATACGTTTACCCAATTCTAGTTGTCTAATATCGGAAAGTTTTGGTAGCTCTAATTCTTTGAAAATAGTGTCTGAATGAGAATCGAAAGTTGATTTAGAAATAATTCTGATAACTCGCTTTTGCAAAGAGACAAGACGGCGAAGACTGGTTTTGTACGTAGATCCCCAGACAATAATACAATAATGAAGATAAGGATAAACTAAACAATAATAAAGAGTTTTTAGACAGGGTTTAGGTAGAAAAAATCTTGCTCTATTAATGACTCCTATTGATTTCGAGATTTTACGAGCTACTTGAGAAATGTGCGGTTTCCAAGACAGATGTTCATCAAGGACTACACCGAGGAAGACCGTTTCCTTAACCTGTTCGATTCTCTGTTCATTTATGCATGTTTGCATTGGAAAATGATACCTTTTCTGTCTAGGCTTAAATAACATAAGGTTTGTTTTCTTCAGGTTTAAGGAGAGTTTGTTTGCCTTAAACCAAGTGGATAATTTATTAAGTTCGGAATTGAGTGAGGCTGCCAGGTAGACAGGATCTTTGTGAGACATAAATAAATTAGTGTCATCATCGAATAAAATCAGCTCGACGAGCGTCGATACGTTATTTAAATCATTAATATAGAGCAAGAAAAAAGTTACAAAGTTACAAAGTTACACGTTTTATGGAGGAAATGTCGTACGTTTTCCCGTTCACTTTTTTATCACTGCCCCTCATTTTCGACTTGCATTGGTGGCCGCTAGCATTTCTCATTTTGTCACCGCCGTTACAAAATTTTCATGTTGTTTTTCCAACAAAAAATGTCTCCGTTGTTTTTTATCTGTCCCTCTAGATCTCTGTCGCCCTTTGTCTCGTTGAGCTTCGCTGGCCTGTGCCTCCCTCTCTCTCTTTTTCTCTGTGTTCTTCTTGCTCTATATTCCAAAGTTGTGGACATGACAATTAATCTAAGCTTAATACATACAGAGACAATTTCCGCTTTCCGTTTTCGTCTTCATTGGCTCTTTAATTGTCTCTGCTTTACGAGACGTGGGTGGCTATGCGATTTCCCATTAAAATAACCTCGAGTTCCATTTGGATTGCCATACCTGTTGATTGAGTTATTTTACATTGGTATGCCTGGTGCGGACGGACGGTCAGGCGGTCGGTCGGTGTACGGTCACGTGATTACCAAATATTCTCGGATGGGTAGTTTACCACATCTTTCTCACCCATGGTGCTCCGCTGCGCGCGCTTCGCGCGCGAGAGCTCCGGTATAACTAGGTATTAAACCTGTCTGGACATGGAGTGAAACTTGAAACGTTGGGCCAAATTTTTCAAGGTTTAATGCTTTCAATGCATTAATAATGACCAAAACCATTATAATCGTTACCACTTCCTGGCGAAATTTGTGTGATAGTAGCCTCTAAAGATGAAGATTTAAAGTATTTGGAAACTGACTTTGTTGTATTAGAAAATGTCTTTCCATACTAAGAGCACAAGTTGAAGACTGCATTAGCAGACTTGCATAGCCGTCGGGTGAGATCGCGAAAAAGGGTCTGTTCAGTCGTTCTGTTTTGCATGCTACACTGATTACATAATGCACCTGCAAGCTGAAATCCTCGTCAGAATCTCTCAGTTTTGAAATGCGTAGTTCTGCAACAGCGTTAACGGTAAAGTCGATCGGAGCAACACGTGTTGTGGTCAGCTGTGTAATTTCCATGTTATTTCAAAATTCTTTATCATATATGTATTATTATTTAGGCTATCTAAACAGTTGTTTATTTTTTCTCTCTTAGGCTATTCTAATTGAATAAAAGTATTGCCGAAATTCCCTTAATCCCTGCAGTATACACGTAGTGTCAGGCAATGACCATTCAATTCATTTGGTAAATTCTTTGTATTAAACTTTTTTCAAACAGGTTTCAAGACTGTTACCCGTCCGCTACCGCATGGCCTCTAAAGTTTACACGGAAGAAGAGCTTAATTACTTCCGGATTTGTCACATAGCCACTAACATGCTGCCCAAGGCTTTACGATTTCTGTTCAAGCAGGAATGGGACAATCGTTACAAGGCAACACTTGGAGAATGGAAGGACTCGCCTCAAAATGGCCAGGATTTTAAAAACGGTGAGCCTCCAGGTAATCAAAGAAAAAATGCCCGACTGTTAGCCACAATGGTAAATGGAGACAGGGCTCAATGGGACTGTACTATGCTCTTTTATGCCATCCTGTATTCTGATTCTATTGCGGGCCATGGACTGAGTCCACTGATCAAAATTAATGTTGATGATCTCAGAAAGTTTCGAAATGAAGACTACGCTCACATGACAGAAGGTCAGTTCTCAAATGCAGACTTCAAAATCACCGTTGCAAAAGTGGAGACAGCATTTCGAGCTCTCGGCCTGTCTGCTGTTGAAATCCAAACAGTAAGTAAGCAGACAACTTTTCCCACCGATGAATTGCAAAATGTGAAGACAAGCAATCAGAAACTTACTCAAGACCTTCAGGCGAAAGAGGCGGAACTTCAAGAAAAAGATTCTAAATTTCAAGAAGAAAAAGACAAGTTTGAAGGGAAGAAAGCGGAACTTCAAGACATGCTAAAAACTACTGAAGAGCAACGCAAGGTCTTTGAAGAGCAACTACAGCGCAAAGTAGAGCCATTTTGCGTCCTTCCACCCAGACCTCCCCATTTGATTGCAAGTCGCGATTACCATGTTGATAAAGTAACACAGAAGCTGTTAAACTTAAGAAAGGCTAACGGGAACACTTTACGTTATTGTTATATTTCAGGCAATCCAGGGAGTGGCAAATCCCAGCTGGCTAGACTCGCTGCTGGGAAATACTACAAAGAAGCCAACAAAGACACAACTGCTCCGTCATTTGTAATGACTTTAAATGCTGAAAACCCAGAAGCGCTTTTAACATCATACCAGTCACTGGCAAGAAAAATGCAGTGCCCTGAGTGTACTATTAATACCACCGAAAACTCCAAGGATCTCAATAATGAACGGAAAATAGCGATTATCAAAGATTTAATTGCGGCAAAAATTCACCTTTACTCATCTTGGCTCTTAGTGATTGACAATGTCACAAATCTTTCTTGGATAGGTCAGTTTCTTCCTGAGTGGGGAAATGAGCATTGGGGCAAAGGCCAGCTGCTAATCACAACGCAGGATTGCTCCTGTATCCCTCCAGATAGTTCCTTCACATCCCACATCTCCATAAGCAAAGGCATGGAGCCTGCTGATGCTATTTGCCTTCTAACCGAGCTCTCTGGAATCACTGACAATTACATGGGAGAAAACGTAGCCCACGCATTGGATTACCAGCCACTTGCACTAGCCAGCGCAGGAGTGTACGTGAGAAAGGTGCGAAATACCAATCCAGACTTTGGCTGGAAAGGGTACTTGAAAAAACTAGAGAAAGGCAAACGTGAACTCACTGAAAAGGAACTTGCCAATGTAAACCTTATCTACCCAAACTCTATGACAATAGCGACCAGGGTAGCCGTTGAGGCGGTGATGGATTCTGATAAAATAATGAAGCACGCTTTCACTTTTTTTGCTTTTTGTGCAACAGAGCCATTGAGGTTAGACGTGTTAACCACTTACGTTGTAAATGCTGATGAAGAGTTGGATGAAGAGGACATAGGCATTCAGATTCAAGGGTCCTCGCTGTTGCTAATCGGAAAGGAGGATGACTCGGTCAACATTCGTTTACACAAGGTGGTACACGATATTGTCAAGCATTTAGTTAAAGACCAAATGGAGGCTAATGAAAATGCCCGGGTTGCTTGTGTCGCAATGAAGTCATACAGTCAGTACATTCACGAGGCAATACCAGAGATCCCGCGGGGTGAAGATTCTGTGTGTGGAAGCAGACATATTGTTCCACACTTAAAAACTCTAGCTGTAGGAATTACAAACATTATCTCTACTGAAGAGAAATTTGCTCTCATCAAAGACACTATTCTAAATATGTACAAGTCTTTATACAACTTTGAGATGCTTGGTGAAGTTTGCTGCCTTCATAGCGAGTACGTGTCCGCAATGAAGTATTTAAGTGTAGCTTTAAAACTCATTGAAGACAATACGATACGAACAGGGCCCGACCATGGACAGTTTAAGCAGGTCGCGCGTCTTTACCATAACATGGGTCTACTACATAGGCGTTTGTGTGACTATCAACAGGCCAAGAGGTATTATGAACGTGCCCTGTCCATACGACTGAATAAGCTTGGACCCGACCATGCTGACGTCGCGCATACTTACCATATAATGGGTACCCTACATCGCCACTTGGGTGACTATCGACAGGCCAAGGAGTATTACTTACGTGCCCTGTCCATACGACTGAATAAGTTTAGACCCGACCATGTTGCTGTCGCGCATACTTGCCATCACATGGGTACCCTACATCGCGACTTGGGTGACCATCGACAGGCCAAAGAGTATTATTTACGTGCCCTGTCCATACGACTGAATAAGCTTGGACCCGACCATGTTGTTGTCGCGTATACTTACCAGCACATGGGCACCCTACATCGCTACTTGTGTGACCATCAACAGGCCAAGGAGTACTATGAACGTGCCATGTCCATACAGCTGAATAAGCTTGGACCCGACCATGTTGACGTCGCGCGTACGTACCATAGTATGGGTATCCTACATGGCGACTTGGGTGACCATCAACAGGCCAAGGAGTATTATGAACGTGCCTTGTCCATACAACTGAACAAGCTTGGACCCGACCATGTCGACGTCGCAGGTACTTACCATAATATAGGTATCCTACATCACCACTGGAATGACTTTCAACAGGCCAAGGAGTACTATGAACGTGCCATGTCCATACTGCTGAATAAGCTTGGACCCGACCATGTTGACGTCGCGCGTACGTACCATAGTATGGGTATCCTACATGGCGACTTGGGTGACCATCAACAGGCCAAGGAGTATTATGAACGTGCCTTGTCCATACAACTGAACAAGCTTGGACCCGACCATGTCGACGTCGCAGGTACTTACCATAATATAGGTATCCTACATCACCACTGGAATGACTTTCAACAGGCCAAGGAGTATTATGAACATGCCGTGTCGATAAAACGGAATAAGCTTGGACCCGACCATGTTGACGTTACGGAATTGTTCCGTTTATTAGCTGATGTGCAGCGTGTTTTGGATTCCCAGCAGCAGGCGCCTGATCATCATGACCGTACTCAGTTGAATCAGTCACAATAGCGTGGACCGGATCAAACTGATTTCGAATTTGCTATTTGCAAAAGGTGTTGCTAAGATGACTATTCTCCATTTTCTAATAATGTTATTAATTGATAACCTAGTGCGTCGTTGTTTGCATTAAACGAATCAAATACAGTTCACTCCCGATAACTCGAACCCTGTTATCTAACCTCGCGCTAACTCGAACCAAAATCGATTTCCCCTGGATTTCCTTCATACACTAAGCATTTACTGTTATTTTAATTTATTTTTGAGCCCTTAAAAAGACGGAAAAAATAGTGGACTGGCGTCCGAAACATTGAGGTTTGAATTTCCTATTTAATTACGTGTTGTAGGCATATAGTTTACTGGTGAAGACTGATGTGTCATGAATCTCAAAACAGTAAAACGCATGCTTTATTTTAGACTTTTTGTTACGTTACGTTCTTATTTATAGTCTAGAAGTATCTTTCAATTTACACACTAATTGCGATTAAAATGTTCACTGTGTAGTGACAGGGGCACCCAATGGTTTTGTTCCTCAAAGTATCTGCTCTTCAACGAAAATTTTTGGTGCCTGGGAGATTTGGAACGAGTAATATGTCTTTGGAAGGAAAGTGTTGCTAGAAAGATGAAATAGACAATTCATGGCGTCTGAGGGGAAACTTCCCAGTAAGTCAGGTTGCAGGTTATAGGTGCACCTTGCTGCCTGGGAACTCTTCCATCAGTCTTGCTGAGAGTGAGGAACTGATAACTTTTTCTCAGAAATCTCCCAAAATGCTTAAAATGGCTTCAGAAAGCTTTGTTCATTTTTTGTTGCTCTTTTTAGGTCTTTTCTCAAAATTTCCTGCAGGGTGCCCCCGTAGTAAAAACTTTTTTTTCCTTGGAAACTCCCGGCTTTTTTCTTCGAGCTCGGCGATAACTTTTTTCGATTTCTCTTGAGGGTTCGAGTTATCGGGAGTTGACTGTAACTGCAGTTTTCGTAGAATTTTAGCATACGTGATATTTATACGGCTTAGTTATCTGAGGGGTACAGAATGGTAAATTCGAGACTTTGTGTGACTGTCCGCTTAATATGGACACCTGTCAATGCGGAAAACGAACACTTATTTCTTGGCTAATTACAGATTCTTCTACAGAAAGTCAACCTTTCCTTCTTGGTTTAAAATCTTTCAGTTGACAGCATGTCTGTAGACGTCTAATTGTTAGGGGCTACTTTGGCATCAAAAGAGTTACGCAGAGAGCGGTTTTGATTGATTAACATAAAGATGAGCGATTTTTGAGTAATTCCGTGGATTTAGTCCGTGGAATTAAGGTTTTGTGAAGGTTAGACACGTTTAATTGACGATGCTAAAGTCCTCTTTTATTTCTTTAAAAATTTGTACTAACAAAAGGTGTTGTTTTGATTCAACAACATAACCCGCTTGAAACGGACACACCGTTTATACGAACACTTTCTATGGACCCTTTAGTGTCCGTATTGATGGGGTGTGACTGAACAGTGTTTATTGATAACATGACCCGCGGGACATCCCGTTAATCAATACGGACACTTACTGTGGCCCCTCCAGTGTCCGTATTAACGGGGTTTGACTGAACAGTGTTTATTGATAAAATGACCCGCGGGACATCCCGTTAATCAATACGGACACTTTCTATGGGGCCCTTCAGTGTCCATATTAACAGGGTTTGACCGAACAGCGTTTATTGATAACATGACCCGCGGGACATCCCGTTAATCAATACGGACACTTGCTATGGACCCTTCAGTGTCCTAGCCTTCGAACAGCAGACGCATTTGAGAGAAGCGACGATAGGAAATGCCTCTGCTGTTCGCAGGCTATCAGTGTCCGTATTGACGGGGTTTAACTGTACTTAGCTACTTAATGCTCTTCCGCGACCACATAAAGAGATTTAGCTCGGTCTTTTGCAAGCTGTTGGATACCTTACTTCACTCCATTAAACGCGGCGATGTTTCCAATGCGGTATTTACTCAAAGGCGGCGTTTTATTCAAAATCGAATTTCTCAAATCACTAACAATCATCGAGAAAGCGCCGGATTCCTTTTATTAAGTGCGGCGTTTATTCGAGGGCGGCGATTAGTCAAGTAAATACGGTAAGCGTAGCTATGTCCTCTTCCCCAGTTGTCATGGGGGATACGACTACCCAGATATGTAAAATTTTTTTACTTAATTTGTATACGTACAATATAATCAAAAGTTCATGAAACATTCATATTGAAAGATAGGCTACTTTATCAAACATGTCCCGTTTACCGCGCGAACGCAATGCTTCAAGCTGATTGGCTACTTTCTATTACTTATTGTATGTTCTTGGATTTGATTGGCTCATACAGGTTGCCCTATTTTCTTAAATTAATTGGACAGTTTTCGTTTTTCATTAGGAAATTCCTTTTTAAAACTATCCATATTAATCCTTGATTCGACAATTTTTTTTAGAAAAAAATTATTTAAAAAAAATAAAAAATAAAAGAAATTTGAAAAAATTCTTAAATTTTTAAATTAAAAACATTAAAATTTAATTTTTAAAAATTAAAGGATAATAGCTATGCCGACAATATCGGATTAACTACCAGGTCCCGCTTGTTCAAACGTTGGATAGCGCTATTTACCGGATAAATCACTATCCCGCGGATAAGAATTATAGTGAAACCAATTTCGCTTTGTAGTGGAGTGGATAGCGTTATTCAACTTTTGAACAACTGGGAGCAGCTGTATAATTAAAATGTTAATGAGTAAGTTTTGAAAGTTGCTCTTTCAGGGCTCCGGAGTATACACAATGCGTGGCAAAAGGCCTAGGGACGAAGTATTTCATCTACTCCTTTTTTTGTAAGTTTCTTTTATTTTAAGAATATTGAGGCTGACTTTGGCGAAGGCTCAAGAATATGTAAAGCGATACCCATGACTGAGATTTTCTTGATAAAGAAGATTGCGCGTTGATGTAACCTATTAAAAACTTCCATCACTTAAACTTCTCCATAGCATGTTTGTAGGTGAAGCACCTGCAACTCTTTCATTTTTTCGACAAATAAAACCTTGCACTGCGTACTACTTCAGAAAAAGAAATAGCATAATCGTCCCACGTTTTAACTAGCAGTTTCTTAAAAACTCTATTAGCTATAGAGCCGCTATTCTTTGGAACACTGACTCGACTCATTTGACGGGCCATTTTTCTGTTTTTCATCGCAAAGTGAAGAACGACGCTTATTTTAAGGAACTTGATTTTATCGCACGGTCGGTCCAGTCGCTGCCCAGGCACTGCCAAGATTTTAAATGTCTTTAAGAATTTTATGGTCTTTGGCTCTAAAATGATTTTTCTTTTGTATGTGAAACTTGTGGTAAATCGTTAGCCGTGTTCTAACAACAAAACGAGAGAAAACTATTAGAGAGATTAGATTCAAGTTAACGCCAAACGGGAAACGTGAATTTGTACTACGTCACCAAGTTTTCCCCCGTATTTGTCGTTTACTATTTATTACTTCTACTGAGAAATAAGTACTTTCACGCCAGTTTTATCCATAAGAATTGTTCTGGACAGTTTTTATCTGCCTATTTTCTATTCTGAGAAATTCTTAACTTGAATCTGACGTTTGGCGTAAACGTGAATCTTAATCTAATTGCACATACTGAAAAAACCGTGTATTTTACCATCAACAGTCCATGACTACCCATGGATACTAGTTTACTCTTTTTACTATCCATGGGCTGCTATGCAGAAGTGGAGTTTTAAAAAGGTGTTGACAAACAATCTGAGATCTGAGCAGGAAGGTTGTACAAATAAATCTGAGGCAAAAGATACGACATAAGGAATACACGATACCCTACGTGTTATAACCAAGACAAAAGCGTCCGAAGGAGGAAAGAGTAGCTGGTAAAGAAGGGGCCGATCGAGGAATTTTCCTTAAGGGAAAGGGGGAGAGGGTGGGTCTATCTTGTGCACACCGTCGATGCAAATTATTTCCCCTCTTCCTAGACACTTCATTAGTCTCTACTACGTAGACCCTTGCTTAGATGACGCGCACAGCCAACATGTGACGTTCTACTCGTAAAGGACACATCTCTGAAATTTTCGTCTGTTATGACTGGTGATAAACCAATTTTGTCCTATATCTTGTGGGTGGTTCGGATCCCTCCGACCCTACCCCTGGAGAGTTATTGAAATGTTACAAAGCAGGTTGACATCGAATTTAAAGATAGAATAGAGAGAAAGAATATTAAGCTTGTAGGAGAGAGGCTTAGAATTTGTACGTGGAGGACTGGAGATAGGGTGATTATACGGATAGCTTGTGTAGCTGGCAGGATTGTTACGCGCGGGGTTTTCTCTTGGCGGAGGAGCCGCGAGGGAAATTTCAATTTGACTTACTCCCAAACTTGTTGCGTTTCCGGCGCTCGGCCGCCAAAAAACAGCAACACTCTCCCGCCAATCCCGCACGCCGCGCAGGCTAGTACACAGAATACCCTAGATTGTAGTAGTAATCCGAAGGTAGATATCGTCTTGATTTACTTTAAATTTATCTATCTTTAGACTACCGTAAATGGAGGAGACGTGGAGTTTCCACGACAGGTTTCCAAGGAATATCCCTTCTGCACACGAGCTATAGGAGAATCATTTATTAAGATGTTTATACTGTGGGGATAATCTGTTTGCGATGTGGATTAAAAAAAAATAGCAAGAGTAATGAACGTAGACTTTTCAGGGTGGACAGTGAGTTTATTTGCATTAAACCAAAAGGAAACAAGAAAGAGCTGTTGATTAATATTTGTTTAAGAAGCTTAGTCTTAATGACGAACAAATATATTAGTATCATACGCGCAGAAGACTAATGAGAGGTGACTCGAAGAGTGAAAAGGATCAATGATGTACTAGAAGAAAAGGGGAAGGCCAAAGAAGAGTACTTTGGGGAACGCCACACACAACATTGTTAAATAAAGAGACATGATGATGAACCATATCATACGGTTCTCTGTGAGCTAAATAACTGGGAAGCCAAGTTAACGGAGCACCGCGGATACCATAGAAATTCATTTTATCAGTTACACTGGAACCTGTATTCAGGGGACGCCCTTGGGACCAAGGAAAGTGTTCCCTGAATGGAGGTTGGGCTGAGGCTCGTAAAAAAAATTAAACAACAAATAAGATACCTTTATTAGAGCCGAAAAAGGAGTCTGCTCTTGCAGGCTGTGGAATCTGCTGCAGTCATTATTTCAAGCAGCTAGATAATGCATAAAAGATCATGAATAACTTATCTCTGCAATGTAGTGTGCTGAATTCCCACAAGTGCAGTACATGAGTTAATTCATTTTTGAAAACAGTTTCTGGAAGGCACTCGTCATTGTGACTAATGAACACTTAAACTAAATCACTCTTTGATTGCTAAGGTGTCCCCTGTTTGGAAGTTAAACCCAGGTTTTAAGGCCCAGAAAAAGTGTCCCTTCCCCCTGAATAGAGGTGTCCCTTCAATAGAGGTAACAAATACAAAGATTATATGAGCATTTCTCTGGGACCAAATTTATTTTGTGTCCCCTGAATGGAGGAGTCCTAAAGGAGAGGTTCCACTATAGTATCTCTTTTTTTCAACAGAAATGCTTAACTTTACTTTCAACAAATGCTCTTTTAATGTGCGTGAGGGCGCGCGTGCGCGTGAATGAAGCCCCTGCTATAACGGAGGAAATGATTAATATGGGTGAGTGCGGTTACACGTAACTTGCGACAGTGTGCTCATTGGCCTGAGTGTCACGAGTTCCAGGATGTTGGGGACCTTAAGCAAGGACGACGACGACGACAGTGAAAACGTCGGTCAAAAAATGAATTTGCGTTCTTTCAAACTTAATCGCGTCTAATTGGACCCGCTCAATATGTCAAATGTAGGCGACTTTTCCTGGGGTTGAATTCTTAAGGATTTTATTCAGGTTCAAAAAGAGGAAGGAAAATTCGTCGTCGTACATGTATGTTCACGTCCTCCAGAAAACGGCAAATTAGAAGGTTTCACGTCGTAGTCGTGCAGTGGACGTCAGAGAAATATACTAAAAAGCGTGATGCACGTGCAGAGCTGTTGTTTTGCTCATTAAACCTATTGTTTTTTTGAAGTCGTCGTTGTGGTCGTCGTCGTCGTTGCCTCAGCTCCCTATTATTTAAAGGTTAGACAACACAAACTACTTAGTACCTAATACTACTACGTATTTAAATACATACCTCCACAATACAGTTAGTCATTTCTGTTTAACTTACACAGCTGAAAACGAACTTAACAGAGTTCCACGCAAAACTGGCACTTGCGAATGGTTACCAGCCTGCCACAGTTCTCTTCTTGCCGTTTTGCGCTAAATTCGCGTTGGCCTTCGCGCAAGGAGTTACTATAGGCGCTGGAGATTACAAACGAGTCGCCCAATCGCTTCATGCACCGCCTTGTCTTAAGGCAACGCCGCTCGCTCAACAAATAATATGTACGTTTACGGTAAACCAACCAAAAGCTAACGCCCGTAGAACAGGCATTACTTTTCAGATATGGTTCGCAGGCGAACGTGAATCATGATCCGAACGTGGATCTTGCTTCATGCGCTTAAGAAGTGGCAAGAAATACTATTTAGTGCTTCTTATATAGCGAGCGACGCGTTTACGCTTCCCTCCTGATTCGCGATTCTAAAAGCCGTGCTATTGTTTGCTGAACTAATCGTCAACTTTTCTACCTGGTATTTTCGCGCAGTGTACCAGGAGTTCGGACTGAGGTTGCCCTAACATTCTGTTGTTAAGGTAGATTCCACTGTCGAGTAATTTTTACGTGCGCCTGGACGTACAATTTACTCGCAATAAAAGGCGTTGTATGAAAAGTCGTCCGTAAACGTTAAGATTGAAACTCCTTCAATATATTTTCGTTTACGCGCTACACTGCAGAATGTTGGGTATTAGATCAAAACCGTCTAAAGAACCCTTATGAATGCGTAGGTAGATCGAGTATATTATGTTCAACACAAGTAGCTTGTTCCTTTTGAACCTGGCGCAATAATTAAAAAAATGATTCAGATACTCGTTATAACTTTAAGCTCTCACTGCGCTTTTCATAAACACCCAAATTCTGAAGTTCAAAAGCCAACTCACGTTTACCGTCAATCATCTTAGCGGGACTCTTGGGAAACAGAAGTTTACTTCAACGGATTGAAAAGGTTATGGTTTGTGATTTGTGATAAGTGGATTTCGATCCGTTTTGTGTGCTTGTGTTTCAAGGTTCATTGCTTGTCATCCTAATTATGATTGACAGCAGTGAAAAACTCCCATTTGTGAAGGCGCTTTTGAACTTCAGAGTTCGCGTGTTTAAGAAAAGCGCAGTAATATCGGAGTCTCAAACAAACTATATGGAGTAAATAAACAACAATGTTAAATTTATGTCATCTTTAATAATACGCTAATATCTTCAAGAGAAAAAAGAAAGAAAAAATGATTTCAGATGAAAAAAAGAAAGAAAGAAAGAAAGAAAGAAAGGTCAATAATGTACGATCAAGAAACGTGTTTGTATAATTTTCACGAGAATTCTAAGACGGAAAAAAATCAAAAATTATCCAACACTCAATAACGCTAACTGAAAAGGTTAGCTTTACTAGTTAAGTTGCAATCCACTTCCAAAATCATTATCCGCGGTAAGAGACGAAGGTAAATAGTTTTGGTGCGTGCACAGGGTATTTTTTTTAAAGAAAACTAGGACATTTTTTGTTGCTACTGACACAATAAATGTCTGTTTTTTCATTCAAATTACGACAACATCACTGTCATGATAAACCGAAAGCTGAACTAATTTATGTGTAAATGTTTATTCTGCAGCATAACCATTTAATGTTTTCTTTGTTCAGAGTTCGTACAATGTTGATCGTTTTCTAGGACTTTCATGATTCGTACGAGCCCTGTTTGCTTAAGTATGTCAAACCTAAAGCGCAGTTTCCATTTTATCGTCTGCGCCTCCTCAAGTTGTTTTCAGGCGAACAAGACGATCATATGCACATAATTCTGACGTGTTGGAGAGTAATCGGGACAATTTAGGGAAATCATTACCTAGTCCGGTAAGCCTCATTATTCCGCGCGGCGAATACGTTTCGGGTCACGTGGTCTGCCTGTTTGCCTCGGATGCGTCACCAGGTGAATTGACGGAGAAGGCCTGGGAAAACGCCGTAAAGGGACTAGGCAAAGGAAATCATAATCGCCTGGATAGATACGGGGTTCATATTTTATCCAGCTGTTAGCCTGTTCTAGGTCGGCTCAGTCGAGAGAAGCGAAAAGAAAAGCGGACGCAAGACACAACAGACAAGGGCTGGGAAGAGACAGGGCGGAATAACCCTCTCCATTCCACCTTTTTTCCTAGTCCTCTATCTTGCCTTTTTCCGCGCTCTCTTTCTATTTTTCTCCTTCCGACTACCTAAGTCCCTGAAACAAGCTACAATCCCGCACAAAACTACTTGAGATAATAACTATTTACAAAACAATGCCTTTGAGGAAAGAAATCCCCTTCCCCCAGTTCAATGTTGCTTCCCACAACAAACGCTCAGGGATCAGTCTTTCTTTTGAACACACAACATTGCTTTCAGGGGGAGGGGGAGAGGGAAGAATCGGTACATTTAGGATGTTTAGAAAAATGCTCCCCAAGTACGCAATTTTCTCAACAGTTTTGTCCAAGATTGTAGCTGGTTGGCTTATAACGAAACCAGGCTTTACCTTGATGGCATCGTGATTTTTATGAGGCTGTGCTGCTAAGGCGATAAATGTTTCAAGGAGCTTGTGCATGACATCAGAGAGATCTAGAAAATGGTAAGGGTGAAGAAGGGTTACCACATTTAAATAAAAGCCCGAAGTTAATAATAAGATATAGAAAAACCAACGACACCACTTCATGCGACTACTCGAAGGCCAAACAACCTGGCAGCATTAGTGAGGTTCTGAGGGGCTTTCCTGTTTGGGGGAAACAATGTGGTCGCGGTTTGTCACTGCCGATACCACAGGGACAGAGGCAAGTGTCCGCGTTACAGCGTTGTCCTTATTACAGAGGAAGGGATTGTGTGAATTGGCATCTCTGGAACCAGTTGACACAGAGATGTCCGTCTTACAGAGGTAAATACAGAGGTGCCCGTACTATAGAGTTTTTCGTAGGGGGAGGTTTGACCAGAGTCAAGGGGACAGACCAAAGACCCAACTGTCCGCATTACAAAGGTGTCTGCATTATAGAGTTCAACACTGTAAGAAGTCCGGTCTGTTGTTTGGGGGAGGGGAGGGGAGTGAAGGGGAGGGCCGTACAAAGGTCCGCCGTAGAGAGTTGTTCACATTATAGAGGTGCCTATATTGCGGGATTCTACTACAATTCTCATTGAAGAGTTTAAGTAAAGACGACGACGAAGGCGACGGCAACGAGATCGACAAAAAATTAATTGGTTTCACAAGGCAAACAAAACAACTCTGCACTTACATCACACCTTCGGTACGTTTCTTTGCTGCCATCGTACGTGACGTAAAATTTCCTGGTGCGACGATTTATGGAGGAGGTAAACACAGGACGGGCATTTCTTATTTCTCGCCCTGAACTTAGGCCTAAGTCTGTACGAATTCAACTCCAGGAAATCTCACCTAACTTGATATTGAGCGGGTTGAAAGTGTGTAAGCACACGAATTCACTTAAAGCGAAGTTTTGAAAGCGCAAATAAGAACCGCAACGATAGTTGCGAGAAAGGGAGGGCGCGCCCTTCTAAAAGTACTCCTCTCTGGTGCGAATCGCTTATCTCGCGCCCCATAATTAATATTTCGTTATGCGCTTGCCACGGGGGCTAGTAAAGCACATGTTGTCGTCGCCGACGTTTAATCTCCCTTAAACAACAATCGACAGTAAAACAAGGAATGAAATGTGCTTAAAAAGTCAGAACGTTTAGAAGTTTATAAAAGATACCTAATGTAAAACAAGGGAACAAAGTAAGTAAGCAAAGCTGTGGCAGGGTTTCAGCGCAAGTTTCAGACATCTGTGCAGGGTAAGCATGACAGCATTTTCTAGATATCTACCCCTGCCTCAGCTTCATTCGCACCTTGAGGAGTGAGCGTTTGGCCTTGTGATAGTGACGCCATGTGAGTCTCCATGATTTCTATCTGTTTTCTATAAATCAGGATCCTTTCTTTAAATGACTCCACCAGACGCCGAAAATACTCCTGTGGAGCCATATTCTCGTGCTGTAGCGTTGGAGGAATGTCGTTCGTTCTCTGGACAATTTCAGAATTCTTCAGCTCCTAAAATACAAATCGTGTAAAAATAAGACCTCTGTGGTTCAGATGTGATAGAATCAAATTTGCTGGATTGAGAGGTAGGTTGGCAGAGAGTCTTGATACCGTTGAACAACGGCTACCCTGGGGACAGACGAAAGTGGCCATAGTAGAGAGGTGGGCGTTGTAGAGAGGTTGAAACGGGAGTGAATGTATGGACTGTCCGCCAAAAAAATGGCCGTTGGAGAGAGGTGGCCGTTATACAGTGGAGCCTCCACTAACGGCCACCTCTCTACAATGGTCACTTTCTTCTGTCCCCAAGGTGGCCGTTGTAGAGTGGTTCAACTGTAGTTTTGATGAACGACCAAGGTAGCCGGGGCTTAAAGGAGCTGTGACATTAAAATATATCAAAATTCAAACAAAGGGAACCGTCACAAAATTGAGTGAAATATTTAAATAACTGCTCATAACGTGAAACGAAGGTACAATTAACATACGATAGCAAATACATCAAGAGAATAAACTTAAGACGAGTGAGACAGATGGCAATTACTGTTTTTGAAAAAGTATTAGCCTAAGAAAAGTTCGTTTTTGTCTTTTGAAACGTTTGATATAATGCTTAAGAGACATATTTGGTTGACATGAAGTACTTTTGCAAGTTCCATAGCCCTTAAAAGGAAGGGTGGCTGAAACTTGATCCCTTTCAGATCATTTTAGGCTTATGGGCAGCAGCCCACCTACACCTCCCCTAAACCATCTTTTTTCCCTAAGTGAGAAGTAAGTCTTAATGTTAGCTTGGGGAAGGGGTAGGTGGGCAGTTTCACGGAAACCTAAATTGATCCAAACTTTCTTCCTCTCAAATGGTTGGGGGGGGGGAGGGGAGGGGAGGGTTGGTGTATTTGAGAGAGGGGGCTTAATAGAGGATTTACGGTATTGTTGTGAAGTATTTTGAAAGTTATCTTTAAGACGGATCTATCTTATCTTTTAAGTTTAGTTTTTGCTTCATTAAGTCTTGTTTAAATAAATAAATAATAATAGTCTTTATTGAGGATATCTTTAAAAGCTTTGGCTATTAAAACCGCTACTATAATTGAAGTAGAGTAGAAGTAGAGAAGTTAGTAGAGCCGAGAAACTTGCTGTGTAAGTAGAAGTTGTAAGAAGATTAAGAAGAATAAAGGCAAGATGTAAATCAGATTCCTGGTACGTCGTCGTGTAGCGAGCGAGTTGCTCGAACACACCCCCACAGTATTCAGGCTCTCTGAGATAAGGAAGGGCGTATGGCCTAAATTCAAGGCAGATTTTTTTAGGGCCTTGTCACGTGTTTCTTGATTAATTTGTTTCGGAGGATTGTGTGATGGGCCAAAAGAATGTCTGCGTGGAAGGCTAAGGGGCTTATTGATCTCTTTTATGTCACTAAGAATTCATGTGATCTCAGCGAATATTATATCAGGACAAAACGCATTTTAGCTGTACTCTAGTTTGACAAAGAAATATCAAACTGGCACTTTTTTCTAACTTAGCAACTCTTTCTACATACAGTAAACACCCGTATATAAGAACACATGATTTTGGGGTTCTGACTGATCTAGTTCTTATTTATCAGGTGCTTAGTGAGAAATCAGCCTGATGATGTTCTTAATGTGTTCTTAAACTTTGTTTCAGGTACATATAACATGTTACTAGAGGTTTAGGTTGCATATTTTATTATAAATAAGGAGGTACGTAAACAAATCAGTAAATAAATAAATAAAACAAAAATTTGTCCGGTAGTAAACTAGTTAACATTAATGAGTAGAAATGTAACATTAGTTTCAACATTTTTAAAAATATTTCTTACAGTCATGCTAACTCAAAAGCAACAATAGTTACATTGCTTTCTTATTCCGACACGCTCTCTCTTATTATATAAGAACGTGTTTAATTTATCAGGCTGAACAGTTTCTTATATATATGGTGCTTTATGGGCCAAATTTCAGCCTGAGGTTCTTTATTCATTTGTCCTTATATGCGGGTGTTTACTGTTTTTTTGACCATATGATAGGGTTAAAGCTTAAAACATTTAACACTGCACCTGTGATACATCCATTTTGAGGTTCTCAACAGCACATCCATCTCTTTGGATACTGTTAGATACCAGAGCCAGAGCCTACAAAAAATATCTATAAAAACATCATTGTTGGGAGGAAAGGGGAATTAAAAAAAAATGCTGCAAACAGTCTTTAGGCAAAAAAAGTCTTTCTGTTAAAACCGAAAAATAGGAGGGGGAGGGGGGAATGTCGATTACAGAAATAGGCTTCTCAATAGGCTTTTTGGTCACACATGATCAGCTATGATCTTAACTCATTTTAAGAAAATGGTGTGGGTTTGAAGAACCAAATCACTATTATTTTGTTTCAAATATGACCCACTAATCGCGGTTTTTCAGAGGCAAATTCATATAACTTTCATATTTTTCATAAAAACGATATCACATTAACTCTTAGTGCAAATTATGGTCTATACCACAGGTCACTTTCTAGCTGTGCTTGTTCTGTGGGAAATGCTTGTCCCGGGATATATCCTGACTCTGTTACTTTGATTCTTGTATCCTGTAAAACCTGTCAATAAAAAAACTCTAGGTCATTAAGACTTTAATATCAGTTGTATTCTAAAATTAAATTTGTGCTGTGTTTTGGGCAAATTCACATAAAATACTCCTATACATTTTCTCAGAGAATTAGTTGGCAGAATTTGATAAAAGATCACAGATTTTTCTTTTGGTGATAGTTTTCATAACCTTTTTCTTTGATTATGACATTTGTTTGGACAAAAATTGATAATCATGATAAATGCATGGTTACCAGAAAACTTAACGCTTATAGTTTATTGCTATATCAGCTGATTGTGAACTGATAACAACTAATTTTACTGTCATCAAGAGAAAAAGTGAGAACCAGGTTTTGCTTGCTTTAAAACAGTTATTATTGATTTTTGTGATGTATCTGGGAGGTTTGGGAAGACAGGTGAGAAATCCCCCTCCTCCTCAACTGTGAAGGGTACTGTTTTCAAGCAGTTTACTCTGGGATAGGGTATATAAGTTCAGGGGTGTAGCCAGGATTTTCAAAGGGGCGGTCACAGAGGCTACTCACCGCTGTTCTCCCTCGTGTATCAGCGGGCTCAGTCGTATTATCGCGGCATGAAGGCCCATATTAGGGAGCTTACGAATCGACGACTTTCGCACGTCGCTGCCGCCGGGTCACGTCATAGTTCTGCGTTGCCGTCCTGCAGAAATTTGACTTTACGATTCGTAGTAAAGACGACGACGTTGGTGCGCGCGGCAGGCAAATTTTCCCGCCGTTTCTGAAATTTGTTTTCTTCTTCACAAGTAAGTTTGTCCGTTCAACCAAAATGTCTAAATTCATAAGAGAAACGAGAGCTCGTATTGCAGACGCTTATGGAAACAGATTTATAAAGGACCGAGTATTTCACTGTATTTGTACTTTTATGCGTTTCGTCAACAAACTCAAAGTTAAGTACGGATTTAGACGAGACAACAAAGGACAAATGCAAGGCGCGTTTATATACAGGGAGGGCATTTATAAACTTGCTGAACAGCTGTAGTTACTGTGATGAGATAACCACTTGCAATGGTCTAGTTGTAGCTTTGGTACCATCTTGCCAATATGATTTTACTCGGTGTTAATTTATGTTTGTCTACAGCTATAGCTATGGTGTTGATTCTTCGGGTCCTTACTCCAATGAAAACAGACAAACAAATCGAAAACATATGTAAAGAACATGTCTCTGATGTGATACTTGAATTATCTGGAAAAATCCGCTGAAGTATGTAGGGAAAACTTTGAAAAGTAGTCCCACGTCCTGCTTTTTCTAGGACGCCGGCGAATCGCTGTCAACAACGGCGTCGACTTTGGCGCGACGCCGGCAAGTGCCCAGGTAAGCATGCGCAGTAAGCCTGTCACGCAGCATTCTCGTCCCCAGAGCCCGTCGTTTCTTGGTCACGTGGTAGGGAAACGAGGGGCTCTGGAACCAGCCGTTACCGGATGTCAGAAAATTTCTGACATCCGGTCGCGCATGTGCAGAAGTTACAAATATCACTGCTCATGCTCATAACGGATTTTTGTCCCTCACCGCTCCACTGGGGGAAAAATTTTACTTCCTGAGCTCTCTCCAGATAGTGGCTTCTTTGGGATGTTTTGAACTCAACTTGGATTCACTGATAATTTGGAGTTAAAAGAAGAAGACAGTAACAGAAACCGGCTGAACACACTGTTGGTTTGCAGAACTGAGACAATTAATCGGCAGACTATCGTCTGAGTTATATGAGTCTTTTTTCAATACGTTTGTCGAACAAACACTGGGAAAGCAATATCGCGAAGATCGATATAATGCGGAAAAAAGTCAATCTAAAATTAAAAGGTATCTTGTTCCATGTCCTGCAACTGCTATCTTACTTTTAAACACTTTTTGAAACGAAACCATTCATGTGTTGTGTTAGGAGAGTAAAATATATGTTTCATTTCACTCCAACTGGTTGTGTTTTTTTCCTATGTTTATTTCCTTTTGTGGTGTCGCATGTCGTGGTTTTAATTTTGCCTATGAGCTTTTGTGTACAACAAGTGTTAGACAACCGAAGGATTTACGTTCAAACAAATCAGTATCCAGGTATCATCTCCTAACTAAAAATCATCATCAGTACCTCAAAGAGAGAGTTTTCAATAATTTTGCTGTCAGACTCACAAAATCATTAATACCTGAAAAATGGTGATTGTGTAGTGACCAATCACCATAATGTTCAGTACACATACACGACCAAACCTCAAAACCACAAGGTAATTACCATTGCTGTTTGACGTTTTGTTTTCTCACCCCTTATTAGCTTTTTCCTTGCAACGCAATAGCATTCCTTAATATTTGTGGTATTCATGGTTTTGTAACTTTGTATAGGTGAGCTCTTGTTACCTCTGTTGTAGGGGTATAAACAGTTATATGTACTTTTGATTACCGGTTACTGATAAAAAGTGCTTCCCAGGACACTAGTTTAGTAGGAAGTGATGGTAATTATGCAAATGCATCCAGAGAGAAACCTCTTTAAGTACCACTTATGATCGAGCTCATGGGTTACACATCTTTGGAAGGGGTTTTAAGGCTATTTGTTTTCTTAGGGGAGGGTTTATAACCAGGGGGACATTTTTGTTATTGTTTACTGGTAAATGGGCCTATAATTGGGGGATTTATAGGTGGGGGGAGGAGGCTTAAAAGCAGTAGTGAGGCCCCATTAGGGGGGTCTTAATATCCCGTATCTCTGTAATTTTTTGACCAAATATCCCGTATCCCATAAATTCCGGTCACAAATATCTCGGAAATTAAAGTATCGGCCATTTTTCATCGGGCGTGGAAGCTGAATAATGGGATCGCGATTACTCACTATTCTTTGCTTTTTTCTCCCAATTATTCATTATTCATTTCAATTTTTTCCGTAATATTCATTATTCATTCTTTAGTTTTTGTATCAATTTTCCTTTCCGAAATTTTCTACAATGCAATTCTATACATTGGCTATCAAAAGTTTACATTTCAGTATACACTAAACCATACCTTTAGCAAGCACCATTCTATTTTTTCTATACATGTGGTCAAAATAATGTTATCCTTTTCGATCAATAGACCGTCTTTGCAATTACTAGGACGTGAGGGACCAAACAACAGCGGCTTACTAACCTTAAGCACCAAAAAATAATAACTAGCAAACAAACTGTAGCTGAAACGAACACTTTTCATAATCGTAATCGCACGTAATCGATTTGGTTCTCAAGTCGGGCAAGATAGGCTGCTTGCTTGCATGGGACCTGCTATACTGCACCACCTACCAGGCTACTCACTTGGTTGGATTTTAGGACCTGTCTATTGGCAGGTCCAGGTTTTATTGCAAACTTGACGCTGAGACATTAATTAATTTCCAAATCGTCCAAACATTGTCGAACATTACAATGCAAGATTCTTATATTGCAACTTTTTTATAATATATAGACAATTGCATCTATAACTAAAGTAATAGTTAACAATTATTCCTCGAGCCGGAATGGGTTATTGCCTCGGAGGCCATGAGGGCGATAGGAATAATTGTTTTAGTAAAATCCAGAGTAAAATCCTACTAGTTGGTCAATAATATCGAGACAAAACAACTTTAGCTAGCAAAACGCGATTCAGCCGCCATTGTTTTGGTTTTCAAAGCGGGTGCTTTTCGCTACTGGTGGGCTATAACATATAGCCTAATAGTAAGTCAACCAATCAGAAGGCAGCATTGGTAATAGACCACTAAAATCCAATATCTTAATTATTAGGGGACAGGCTATTATTTTAGTTTCATCTTAAGCCCATCTTGACCCCTGTCTTCACAGGGTCCAGAGGAGTTTCGTGTGAATAGTTGAATTACTTATTTAAAGTCTCACCTTGAAAAATGTCTATACCTGTCGCTTAGCACGATTAATTAGCCTAATGGGATCTTTATAAATCTACTGTAAACGAATTCTTCGCTTCTTGTCTGACCCAGATCGACTTTTGAAAATCAATAACCGCAAGCCATATCCTCGCTGGCGCACGGCACGTCACCCGAAGGGTCACCGAAGGCCGTGTAGCCGATCTTGCGAACCCTCAGTCTCTTGGTTTGCGGTCTATAGAATGTGTAACGAAACTGTAACGTGATCAAAATAACCCATTTTTTCAGAGGTTTTGGACGGGTTTTGATGTCCTAACGACAACCACATCTCCTCTGGACCCTGTGCTGTCTTTAGCCTCTGTCAACAATTCCCTAACAATTGATGAGAGCCGATGTGAAGGCCGTGTGACATACCACAGGAGTGTAGTGTGGGACTGGAAACATAACTGTCACGACAATGTTTTAGCCGTTTTACAGGAACTGTTCAGGGTCGACGTAGCGTGAGATTTTGAGGATGTACGAACGCGGGGAAGAAAAGTTGTATCGCCGAAAGTGGCCTGGCCTAGGGGGGTCTGGGGGCCAGAAAATTTTTTAATTTAGAGTCTTGGAAATGCCATTTCCAGCGTTTTCCGCAGGACATTTTCCGTAATTATATATGTTCAGTTGTTTATTTTACCCATCTCCAGTGTTGTCGGTAAAAGGGTGCAGTG